ATAACCGACTATGTTAGGAGGGAAAAGATTAAAGAGCCCTTGCCCCATAATGAAAATGGGAGCAAGTAAGCGAAGTTTGGGGTGTGTCTTTGTATCACATTACCCTGTGCTCCCTCCTAATCGTTTCCTTTGTCGAAGGCGGGAATCGGACTTTCATCCGCATGTTTTGCAGCGCAACACTCCAGTTGCTACGACGATGTTCATGCGTTCACATCCAGGCAACAATGTGCTAACGTGAAATTACTATAATAACACGGCCGCCTGGATTGGCCTAGCTAGAGTGCCTCGATGCTCGCTCCTCCGCTCAGAGTGAAGACATCTGCATCGTCTGCTACGGCGGCCGCCAAAGCACTGGGGTTTCGGGACAGGGAGGGCAAAATAGCCTTTAAGCGGGTAGAATTAACTAGAAGGTGGTTATCTGATTGGTGGCTACAATCAAGGCACGAGTGAAAATTAAAACTCTTCACCGCAAAGTGCCAGTGCTTATCTTCACCAATTAAAAAAATTTAGTTTTTGTTCACTAAGTACTACGGCTAGGTGGCGTTAGCCGCCGCCCGATCTAAATGGTATGACCATACCATTCCATTCATCCAACCTAGTTCTAGCGCGATGAGCGCGATCCAGGCGGTCGTGATAGTAACCTCGATAAAAGATCAGGCTGGCTTATCAGAAACAGCCTATTGCCGACGAGCTCACGATTGTGAAAGCATTAGTTATTGGAAAATGGCGCGTACAAATAGGCATGTGACCGGTGCACCTGTGGGGGCCCCATTTCTCTACGCCCTCCTGAGCCGGAATGTTCGCGCGCGGCAGCGAAATGTGCGACCTGTAGATGCTTCTCTTACTTCTCTCTACAACAGCGCTAGGTAATCGGGACGGCATTATGCTCTCCCATAGTAGAGTACGATGTACTCTAAATCGTTAAACACTTCTTCTAAACACTAATTTGTCTTTCTAAGGCTAGTGGGTGTAGTCTGTTAGCGGGACGGCTCAGTGCTCTCCCATAGTTGAGTACGAAGTACTCGAAATCGTTAAACAATTTATATCTAAACACACTAAGAATTCAAATATTCCGGGAACTCCGGCTTGCTTTAATTCGATGTCCACGGGACGGTTTTTATGCTCTGACATAGTAGAGTACATAGTACTCTAAATCGTTACCCACTTTTTCTAAACATATACTAAATGTTCGTCGGCGCAAACTGGTCCAGTATGAGGCGAATGGGAAGGCTTTATGCTCCACTGACCACCCCGTAGTAGAACTCAATCGTTCACCACTTTTTCTTAACACGCAAACGTAGCCTGCTACGTTTGTGGCTAAACGGGAAATTGCGAATTCGCTTGCTGATATGGCTTTGATAGCTTGAACGTGACGACTAAGATGACGTCGTAGGTGTTCTGTGGTATAGTCACGTTGGCCCCGCCGCGGTAGTCTAGTGGCTAAGGTACTTGGCTGCTGACCCGCAGGTCGTGGGTTCGAATCCCGGCGGTGGCGGCTGCATACCCAATGGAGGCGGAAATGTTGTAGACCCGTGTGCTCAGGTTTGGGTGCACGTTAAAGAACCCCAGGTGGTCGAAATTTCTGGAGCCCTCCCCTACGGCGTCTCTCATAATCATATGGTGGTTTTAGGACGTTAAACCTCACAAATCATCATCATCATCATCATCAGCCTGACTACGTCCACTGCAGGACAAAGGCCTCTCCCATGTTCCGCCAGTTAACCCGGTCCTGTGCTTGCTGCTGCCAATTTATACCCGCAAACTTCTTAATCTCATCTGCCCACCTAACCTTCTGTCTCCCCCTAACCCGCTTCCCTTCTCTGGGAATCCAGTCAGTTACCCTTAATGACCAGCGGTTATCCTGTCTACGCGCTACATGCCCTGCCCATGTCCATTTCTTCATCTTGATTTCAGCTATGATATCCTTAACCCCCGTTTGTTCCCTAATCCACTCTGCTCTCTTCTTGTCTCTTAAGGTTACACCTACCATTTTTCTTTCCATTGCTCGCTGCATCGTCCTCAATTTAAGCTGAACCCTCTTTGTAAGTCTCCAGGTTTCTGCTCCGTAGCTAAGTACCGGCAAGATACAGCTGTTATATACCTTCCTCTTGAGGGATAGTGGCAATCTACCTGTCATAATTTGAGAGTGCTTGCCGAATGTGCTCCACCCCATTCTTATTCTTCTAGTTACTTCAATCTCGTGGTTCGGCTCTGCGGTTATTAAGATAAGATAATATTTTATTATTCAATAAAAGATAATACATAGGAAAAAAGTTATACAGAAGGAGGTCCCAAAGCTCTAGGCTGCAAGGGGACCTCCTGTGCTAGTTACATAAAGAAAACAAAACATGTAAAGCAACTCGGTAAACAATAGAATAAGTTTAAAGGAATCAAGTACATTTCATTGCAAAAGAAACAAACAGTCAATTATTGTCAAATCGAAACACTTGATAGCAGATGAAATCCATCAGCAAATGATCAATAACACCTGGCAGCAGAAGAAATGAAACTTGAATTGTATATACACCTAAGTGCATGTTAGATGATAAACGATCGATACAAATATCACATGTGCTGAGTAGTAATAGGTAAAAAGAAGAAAAGTTAAAAGTGGTATGTCTCAAAGCGGCAACAATGCCAGACACATGTTATTCATCTAATTTGGTACAAAACAGAGCAAACATAATGAACGATTAGTTCCGAATTGAACAGCATAAACAACGAGATTATTTAAACATTAAGTAAATAGGAATTTAAGCGTTTTTTAAAACTGCCTATGTTTGGAGACATTTTTACGTCACTTGGAATACCGTTCCAAACGGAAATAGCTGTAAAGGTAGAAGTGAATCTGCCATAGTTAGTTCTAACTTTCGGTAACAGGAGGTTATTATTTGATGCAAATCGAGTTATATTTTGATTAATGAGTTGTTCTTTATTGAAGACCATGAAAGGCATGTTTGAGTGAAGAGAATTGTATGTAAGGGTTGCCATGTTGAAAAGAAAAAGTTTATGAATTGTTAGAATACGAAGCCCTTGTAAAATAGCAGATGCGCTACATCGTGATGGTTGATATGTGATAATGCGAATGGCCTGGTTTTGAACATATTGCAAAGGAGCAAGATGAGTGCTATATGTATTGCACCAGGATGCAATGCAGTAAGTGAAGTGACTGTGAACGAAGGCATAGTAAAGAGAAAGCAAGGTATTTGGCCCAAAGTATGGACGTGCTTTGATGAGAATCCGGATGCCATAAGCTGCTTTTTGCTTTAGGTGTGAGACATGGGAAGTATACTTTAAATTTGCATCAAGAATCACTCCTAGAAATCTACACTGACTGGAGGCTTTGATAGGATAATTATTGACCGTTATAGACGGATATTCAGTGACCTTTTTTTGAGTGGGGTGAAATAGCACAAAAACTGTTTTACTAGGGTTAATTTCCAGTGAATTATGACGACACCAGCGAATTATATTTCAAGATCACTGTTTAGTTTAAAAGTAACAGTATCGATCGAGGTGCAAGCAGTTAAAATCGTAGTGTCATCCGCATACAGATAAGGTAGACAGTGCGATAGGTGAGAAGTTAGATCATTAATGTAAACAGTGAAGAGTATTGGGCCTAGAATTGATCCTTGAGGTACTCCCCGATTGATTATTTTAAAATTAGAAAGATGATTGGATATGCTGACAGCCTGTTCTCTGTCAGTTCGCTGCCCTAAGTAGACATAGTCTTTTACAACTTCAAGTGCACTATTACCTATCTCGAAGCGCTGCTCACAAATCAATCAATCATCAATTAATAGGTATAGTCACGTGGGACCTAACTTGTTTCAGTTTGATAACGACGTCGCCAGAACGTTATTGGGCTCCAGTGCGTGATAGCGAAGCAACCAGCATGCGTCACGTACTGATCACACTCGCGTGTTCGTGCTTGTGTTTGCACGTGCTACCTTTGTAGCATACCACCACTCTCTGTTGTTCGCGCGACTTGTCCTTTCCGACGACAGTGCTTCTCTAGCGCGCTGGTTTCCATAGGTCGCCGTGAGGCCTATCCTCCTCTACACTTTAGGCTATGCCAGAGGTCGTCGTGCGAGCATGTGTACACCGTCGGTTTGTGCGCGGGATAAGCTGGCGAATCGCTGTCGCGAGCTTTCGATCATCCGCGCCGTGTAGTAAATGGCTTGGCTTTCGCTTTTGTGCTCGCACACTAAAAAATAAAAAGAAAGCAAGCAAGCTCGCAATGTACTTACGCTTGTGTGAGTCTGTTCACCCCCCCGTACCGTTCCAAGACGGTGATTTATGGTTGACGCGGCAAGCTGGAGGGACTCCCTTATTGGGAGGCCCCGCTTCTGGCCTCTCTGTACGCGAGCTCATCGGCGTAGCGTATGTCGCAGGCATGATCTCTCGAAAGAGGCAGTTGGTTTGTGACCCCTTGGGGCTGTTGGCGATTCGCTGGACCCATCTGCTCGCCAATACGTGGGTGGCTTCGTGGTGGGCCAACAGCAAAACACGCCCACTGGGGCGAGCTGAAAATGTTAGTACACTCCGCCCTTTTCGAAAATAAAAATAAAGTGCATTTAGCTTTTTTGGTATATTTCCTTGGATTCACATTGTTGTGTATCAGTTCAGATTTGAAACATACTATTCGAGCCTATGAGAGTGCATACTGCAAATTTTTTGCAGTGGAAAGAACGAATTGGAACAACTCACTGATGTCGCTAATGAAAAGTTGGATTCAAATCTCTGTGTATATTGAAAACTAACTTTCCTGATGCTCTGTCTTGTTTCTTTCAAACAATGAATTGTGGCTTAAGTAGACATATTTTCGTCGTTTAGTTGACATGTTAAGTGCCATTATCCAGTTTGTGTACTGGCACATGCTTTGTGGCGCTTGTAATTTCATTTGCATTTCACTCAAGCGTTCACGCGTTTCCCATCTTCTCCCTTTTCGATGCAATGTTCTGAGATGGCATCTTTCTGTTCTTTTTTCTTTCACACAGGTGTGTACAGCAGCTCTGTGGAGTCGGCATCTTTCCTCAGCACGGGCACACCACCAGCAAGGAAGAAGGGCTCCAGGGACAGCGAGCAAGATGTAAGAGCAATTATTGATTCGACAAGGGCCGAATCCACAGAAGTTTACTCACTTGAGTGCTTTTTGCGGCCATTGACCATCTGCCATTTCGCTAATGTGTCTATTCCCTATTGCAAAAATCAGCGCCACTGGGTACCAGCAACACCACCTAGGCCCCTCCAGGAAGAGCGTGACGTCACGCTAGTTGCCCACCTGCACCCCGGCAGTCGTCGCCACTCGTTCTCGTTATATCTGCTGTGGGCACTTATTGAAAGCCGGTGTTTCTTTTTTTTTGTTCTTTTTTTGTTCCTGCGCGGTCTGCATTTGTTTACGCCTGCCTTTACACTTTAGTGATCAAACTGTAATAGTCAGAAATGCATTTGTAGAAGTGGTTTTATTAGGACGAAAGGCTGAAACCATCCTACCTCATTTCTTGTTCAAGGTTTTGATTTTTCTGTCAGCTGCCTTTTTTTGTGCGGTGCTTTGGATGGTTTCATTTCGAAGTCTGCAAAAGTTGTTCAGAGCGACATTTGTTGCAACACGCACTACATGCGGCACGATAGTCTCAGAGGTATGGCCATTTTCACAAGTCTCTAGCTCAACATCTCCTAGCAGTGATGTGGTAATGGAGCTTACAATGCCACATTGGTTGTTCGACACGAGGAACGCCTTTGCATTTTCTCCCTTGGTGAGCTTTTCGACAACAAGTGTTGTCACCAGCACCATGTGCACAGTACATGGCTGCGGAAACTTTAAGCTTCCTCTTGACAAGTTGTCAATCATTAAGTTACCTTCCACATCTATGTTCCTGCTCTCCAGGATGAGCACGCTGCTGCAAAATGCGCATGACAGCTTCTTCAGAGCTGAATGAGCACAATATCCAGCAATATAAGCAACGACCTCCATGTCATGCTTTGGGTTGGAAATTTCATCATTTGAGATGTGAACAGAGAACTTATGTTGCGATACTTCTGTGTCACTTTCGCTGCTGATGTCTGGCTGCGGAAGCATCAGCAGCTTTTGCAGACGAATTTTCTTTTCAGATTCCAGAAGCTGCCTCACGGAAACATGATATTGTGCACCAGAAAGCTGACGGTAGCGACCGAAGCGATCTTCAAGAGTGTCAGTTTGAAATTTTCCCAGCAAGACACACTTGAACTTCAGTTTTTCTAAACAGTACCGCAACAGCTCAACAAGGGAGTAGCAAGTGAGTCTCAACGCAGAATGTGTTTTCCTTGTCAAGCAGCCACGGCTCATGTTGACGCTGCTCCAAGCATCCAGCCAGTCTACCATGCCACTAAGGAAAACCAGCTGTTGATCCACCGTAGAATTCACTGGATTTTGAAGGGTGTCGTTCAGTCGGCGACCTTTCGAAGGGGTCTTCACGTTGACGATTTTCCACCACGTCGATATGATGTTTATGAAGAGAGCTGTTGAACTGGCACATGTGGTTTCAAGGGCATCGCCACGCGTCTCAAGTGCATTTGATACAAACGGATTAATGACATTTAACACCAACTTTACATTTTGTCTCTCCATAGGTGTTGGATTGATTGCCTTGGAATTTAGCTTGTAGCCAAGCTTGAGAAGCGATGTCTGCTCCAGTGCATACAGCTGCTGTATGGCTTCAAATGATGCTGCCTTCATTCTGGGCGGCCCGTCGGGCAATATTGCTGACAGGCTCACTTCAGGAAAGTAAAAGCATATTTCTTCGTTTTTTTTATTCATACAGTTGTTCCTGATGCATTTCAGTATGTGCACAGGGTCTACGACATAAAACAGAGGACGATTGTTGTCGGCTGGATGAGGATATACAATGCTTACTTCCTGTTTCTCTGAGAAAAACATCATTTTCCGGTTGAGGGAATTGTTGTCGGTAATTACAGCAATGACCCTGAGGCCCATAGATTCCACTTCTAAAATTACTTTCTTGCAGAACTCATGTAGAATTTCGGCGGTAATTTTAGCAACAGGAAGAATGTGAAGCACATCTTTGTTTGATGTCAAGAGCGACTGAAGCATGAAAACATGAGCGGTTGTGGCTGCCTCTTGAGAATTGGCTGCAGATCCAACTACGCTGCCCCCTTTATAATCGAAGTATGGCTTGATACGAATTTCATCAACCATTAGCGTCACCGTCTTTTCGTGCGGCTGCATGCACTTCACTCTTTCTCGAATGTAGGAGAGGAAGTTCGCTTCATTTTGCTCCTTCAGTGGATCGCCTCCATACTTGGAACAAACGCGGCGCAGGGTCGAAGGATGGGGTAAAGTCAACATCGACGCTGATCTGGCAAAGTTATAGGCGTGTGAAGATATGGAGTACAGGATGCTAGAAAACACTAATGTTTCAGCACTGTAGCGACGAGTGGGGGCGGCGAGTGCGAGAGCTATTTGCTCATTTAGCAAACGAAACAAAGCACTGTGTTCTTCGGTCGTGTCACTGTCTTGGGACAGTTCATTCAATAAGGAGCCGATATGCTGCAACACTGACGCTGTTTTCGACGGACTTGCAACTTCAGGCGTCTCAGTCATGTGGTTTTCCAGCTGCTGGAGCAGTGAGGACAACGTCCGGATGTCGTGCACTGCGTCTGGAACTGCGCCTCCGCAAGGTAATGAAACCAATCAAGCCATACCTGCTGAGACAGCAAGTGAGAGATCAGCAAGCACAGTGATGGAAAACCTCACGTGCGGTGAAGGATTATCTTCGATGCGGAGAAACATCGCACAACGATCGTTGGCCTTGATGGTCCAGAAATCATTACTGCATACAGCAGAAAGCTTGTCTCTTAAGTGTTCGAAAGAGGACACAGCATTTGTCTCCTCTTCGCTTTTTTTTGCGCATATAGAGTCCTTAATCCCTTTGCTCAAGGCCTCGTCTTCCATTCGAGCTCGTTTCGAGACAGGAGATTCTCGACGATTGCGATTCATGCTCAGGTAGGACGGACAGTTCAGAAACACCGATGGTATAGCATCTGACACTAGGCGCACCCTCTCGCTGTCGACTGTCAATGTCCGTCCCAAGGCTGCGTCGAAATGTGACAGCTTTGTGATGAAGTCAGCCTCGAGGAAGTGGAGTAGGCCAAGCATAACAGTGACTTCATTACTTTCATACGAAACGGGCTAACGGGAACTTTGACACGAGCCAGAGTATTTCTGTTCTATTTTACCGCACTGCCCTACCTGAAGCGCGACAAAACTACCATCACCACTCACGATACTCGCTCCGTTCAACAGTAACAGAGCCAGGACGCCAGTAATGCGATAGAGCCGGTAAGACAACAAACTTCAGCAGTTTGTCACCTTGGAGTGTATGTTTGGTGTGAAATCCTTTCGCGGAATTGCTTTTATCCAAGACTTCTTACGAGCTTCATCCTTGAGGAATGCGAAAACACGCACTTTGGGACCACTGTCATAATTGCCGCGGCACCCGGGAACACAACAACGTCCCATGTCGCACTCATCGATGTGTAATCACATACTCACAAATACAACACCAATAAAATAGGACACGTGGGAACGGACGAAGACTCAGAGCAGTGTGATGCAGCACCAAGCCTAACGCAGTCTAACCAGCGAAGCAGGTAGCGATAAAAGGCAAACCTGTTGTGGCTTGTCCGCCGTTCGGGGTAAAAAAGTGCGCGGGGTGACCAACACCACCACCTGAGCGACGCGTCCTTGGCCACTGGACAGTCGGTGATATGTCCGGGGAGGGGTTGAGGCTGCCACCCAGGATCCGGCGAAGGACGACTTTTGCGACGGGTCTAACGAAGAAGTAGAAGATGCGTTTAATTTACATATTTGCATGAGAAGTACATTGCAACGAGAGCGTACAGACGCACCTTTCCATCACAAGGGCCCAGAGCGCACTCGAGACGAGCGGCCCAGCAAAGTCCAGAGAGAGAGCACAGCGCACTCCCGACACGCTCCTTTTATAGCCGTCCGTGCACGCGCTAGACGCCGACTGTGTGTCCTAGCGACGCTGATGTGCATTTCCTGCGGCGCACACAGACGCCTCCCGCGTTCCTGCAGGACGCGAACAGCGTTTGACCGTTACGCCGATGAGCGTCCCTTGCAAGCCACCTTCTTGCTGTGCCGGTCATTTAGATTTCCACTGTAGGACATGCGGTTGCTCCCCCCGTTTCGAGAGTGCGTCAGTCATGGCTAAGGCGCGTGAAAAGACCGAAAGAGAAATAATTGAAGCGTACTTTATCAGACAATATGATGACAAGTGCATAAGCATGCCTTCCATTTCACTTTCGGACAGGGAAATGGTCTTCCTGCAAGGTCATGTGTAATGTTGTGGCTAACGCCTTGCATTGTGTTCTCTTCTATTCATCTTTCTTTGTGTTGTTTATTAGTGTTCTTGTTTTCTTTCCCATGTGACGCTACGAAATGTTGTGTTAGATTTTATGGTAGTATAGTTTTTGACTCTCTCGGCGTACTGCTTCTTCTGGTTTCTCATTTGGGGCTGCTTGGAGTGAATATGAAAATGTTAATTTATTGTTTTATTTGGTGCTAAGCGCTATTTTTAGGGTTTTAAAACGAAAATCTCTAGAACATGTTTTTATTTTTTCATGCTGTAGTTGATGCTTGGTGCAATGAATAATAAAAAGATAAAAGATGAGCGCACACCTTGGGAGTAAGCAGTTTAGATCGTGGTGGGTATCACTTTTGTATTTTGTCATTTTTCACGTTTGTCATTGTGGTGGCAGTCAATTTTGATTTGATTTGGTCGGCTTTGTTTGCGGCGTCTATGGTTTTGTGCGCATCGTGGAAACGCAGCGTAGCATGTATATATTGGCTTCAAAAAAACGACAATAAACAGTTGGTAGTCTGCACTCTTTCCTGTCTCTCTTGTTTTTTTTCTTCAAGTTTGTGCAGCAATTCAATTTTTTAAGTAGACATATCTTCGTCGTTTAGTTGACATGTTAAGTGCCATTATCCGGTTTGTGTACTGGCACATGCTTTGTGGCGCTTGTAATTTCATTTGCATTTCACTCAAGCGTTCACGCGTTTCTCATCTTCTCCGTTTTCGATGCAATGTTCTAAGACGGCATCTTTCTGTTCTTTTTTCTTTCACACAGGTGTGTACAGCAGCTCTGTGGAGTCGGCATCCTTCCTCAGCACGGGCACACCACCAGCAAGGAAGAAGGGCTCCAGGGACAGCGAGCAAGATGTAAGAGCAATTATTGATTCGACAGGGGCCGAATCCACAGAGGTTTACTCACTTGAGTGCTTTTTGCGGCCATTGACCATCTGCCATTTCGCTAATGTGTCTATTCCCTATTGCAAAAACCAGCGCCACTGGGTACCAGCGTCCAGCGCCATGCCTGATTATGGGCCCAGTATGGCGCTGGTACTGGGACGCTGGAGCGGCAGCGTCCCAGTATACTCTGCGCAAAATGGCTTCCCAGGGATAAAACAGGGGCGCCCGTTCGCCATAAATAAATAAATAAATAAATATATAAGTAAGATAACGTGCATTCACAATAAAAAATAAAAAATAAAAATTGAAAAATAAAAATAAAACGCTACTTGACGAGATTTTAACTCGCAACCTCTCGATCTCTCCCAGAGTACGCTACCCACTACGCCACGCCAGAACGTGCTTTTCGAGTTGTAAAACGACTATTCATCCAAAAAACGCGCCATTCAACTTCATGTTTACAAGTCGCATAGTCAAGACTGACACTATATTCCTTTCCAAATAATTGCATCTTGATTCGACAGTGACGAACGGCTTCCGGGCACCGAATGACGTGCAGATATTAGCAAGAGCGCAATGTTTTTTTAGGTATCTACATCTTAACTCTGAAAAATCTCAAATTGACTGGAGGAGCAGCCACAGATTGTCAGCTGTTGCTGCCGATAGTCTTTTTTTTTTCTTTTGATAGTCGTTTCTAGCACTTGCTACTGGTCAACAAGTACAGATGATTTACATGTCTTGTTTGGTAGATATCCACGCACACGAGTGAATATTGAGTATAGTTACGGGAAGGAGACTGACTCAGAGGGGTAGTCACTGATGTATTTTCAGCCGGTTAGGCGAGCAGCGCCAGCCACACAGATTAGCTCGCGCCAGTCTATCTGCTTTGTCTTCTTCCACTCCATGCACTGGCACGTAGCAGTATTTTTCTTTCGCGCAAGCGACGACGTAGCAGTACACATCCGGCGTGCCAGATTACATATTTGCAGTTATGTCGATACCTGCAACTAAGAAACCGCCGAAGAAATGACTGATGAAATCCGCTGAAAAAGTATGCTAGTATGTTAGTTCAGTAACGCGTGTCAAATTGCCAACTTAAAATTGCTCGTTCTTACGTACGGGTCAGAGAAGTACCAGCTCCAGCGCTCAGAAGGAAGCTTAAGGCGACAGCCTACGTTGCTGAAAGCATGACACATCGATCGTCGCCGCTCCTTGTGCGGGCACCGCACATGCGGATAAATGGTCGATTTAGGCTCAGGGATGTCAAAACTGTACTTTACAGTCATTCTTACACTTTAGAAGTGTGCCTACTTAAAGTAAAAAGCGCCGGCAGCAGGTACACCGACGCAAGTGGCACGATAGGCCTCGCTGGGACTGGGTAAGGCTGCTTTCGAAGCAGCTGAGTTGCGATGCTTGAAGTTTCGTCATTTGAGCTTGCAATATTTGTTACTGTTATCTGAACTGTACCTGGAGTAAGTGGAAAGTCAATCAATGCCAGATATGCATTTACGGAGTGGTGATGGCGAGCGACAGCCGTTTTTCGGCCTCTGCTGGCAGTAAACAGCAGGCATGCCAGTATACAGATATATGCAGTTATATTAATACTGACAATTAAAAAAAACGGCCATAGAAATACCAATGCAATCCGCTGAAAATGTATGCCAAGGAGTCAGTTCACGAAGGCGTACTAAATTACCAACTGAAAATTGCCTGTTACATATCAGTCGGAGAAGTACCGGCTAGTGCGGCCGGCAGCTTTCGGTGACAGCCTGCGTAGCTGAAAGCGCGACATTCGATCGTCAGCGCTCCTTGTGCGAACAGCGACTTAAGACAAAATAGTTGATTTAGGTTCTTGGATGTCTAAACTATACTTTACAGTTATTCTCACACTTTAAAGTTGTGTGTACACGAAGCAAGAAGCGCCGGTAACATATATACCAACACGGCTGGCATGACAGGTTTGATGCTCGCTGGGCCGGGCACTGGGTAAGACCGCTTACGTATTCTCGGTATCTGTTAAAAAAATTACGTATTCTCGCTATCTGTTAGGGTAGCATCTCTTCATGCCGTCAAATCAAGTGCTTTATATTCAATGACACCGAAACAAACCACGGCACATGCTACAATAACATGCACGCTGCAGCTGCGCTGGTAGAAACAGTGCGTGCTCTAGTATTCACCAGCGCTTGCCAGTGAAAATTCCAGCGCTTCGCAGTGCGCACCAGCATCACAGCGGTTGAGCCAGTGCCCCTACCAGTGCGACACAGCTTTTTTCCCAGTGCGCCCAGCGAAGGGCCAGTGATTACAAGCGTGTACCAGCGTCTCCAGCGTGTGCCAGTGCCAAAAAACATACTGGCATCACGCTGTTTTTGTAATAGGGTTACCAGGATTGTTTGTGATTTTCTGTGAAAAACAATTCTAGCAAAGGTACATTTAGTGAACACAGGCAAAGGTCCTCTCCTCAGTTTGGTTCTCTGTCATCTAATGGATACAACCAGCTCCTCACGGAAAAGATAGGGTGCGTTTGTTTATAGATGCTCCGACCATAGCTTAGACCTTTACAAATGGAGCAATTGTCATGAGATGTTACAGATACCTACACTCTGTGTGTTCAGAAACATGCAGCACTCGAGAACCGATTAATTTGCATGCATTCTCATTAAGTTGCTCATAAATCTTGTCCACTTGCGGGCCTGTCTACATTTACTGCACGCTCATCTTTCATTACTTATGCTCAACTATTGCTGCGTTTCGATCTGTACCAGGAGGCGGCCCAGGAGGTACCTCCGTCCGAGGCAGAGATGCTGACCATGTGCAAGTGCATCGTGAGCAGCATAATCGAAAGTGAGACGGCCTACGTGGACTGTCTTGACACTCTGAATCAGGTAATCAAGTTGTTGCAGTTGGCGACATGCAAAGTGCTGGTGCATCTCAGCTGGCTGTAGTGGTTAGCTTCTGTAACATATTCAAGAGGTCAACGATTTGATTCGTCTCATTTTATGCAATTAAATGGGAGAACAGCCTCACACTTAGATATAGATGCATGTCACGGAATCCCAGGGGATGCGGAGTCTCTCTGTCTTGGTGTGCCTTTTAATCGTATCGTGATTTTGGCACTCAAGATGTCAGAATGCACATAATTTTAATTTATGTATGTTGTAATTTTGTGTAAAATGATTCTAGTCTTCTTCGTTACGTGCCCATTCAAATTCAAGTTATCAGAAGAAAATATTTGTGTAGTTGTTTTCTGATCGTAGTGGTACTTCAAAGCCGCCCCGCAGCTGCACATTCACTAAGAAACACTGTGTCTTGCTTCTTATTTCGTATTATTTTGTTTGCCTTTAGGGGGATGCTACTTATATATATCTGGGGAAGCAAACTTTTTTACAAAACCTTAAATGCATGATGAGTCCCTCTGTCATTTATGGGTTTATTTTTATTGATGAATTGCTTGCCTACACGTTCACAGAAAACTGTTTATGTATAGTGCGGCGACTTGATAAAGCATACTGTTGTTTCTGTACGCATAGTTGTTTTTCTTTGTCAGTCTGCAGATATGCTGCTCTGTCATCAAGGAAACTGATTTGTTCACCTAAGCTTACAAATATAGTGGAAATATACTGAACCTGGAATCACGTATATTCTCCCAAACGCAAGCAGGAGTGTTTTAAACGTAAACATTTTGACAGCAATCTGTCTGGCTGGGTAGAAAAGTTTAGAAAATTGAAATTGCTCCAGCCACAGTTCAAAAAGAGCCCGACGTTTCGAGACCGACTCGGTCCCTTCCTCAGGGGGTGACTGTCTTGGTCATGGAAGTGTCGTCGCGTCGTGTTCTCTCACCACGGCTCCGGCTTTCCTTTTCCACCACGTTTTGGAGACCGTGAACGTACACCGAAGGCATTGTTCCCAGCGAGCGGTTCACGTTGGCAGGCGTATGCTGAATGTGCCAAGACTCGAGCAAGAGCCTCTTTCCTAAATTCCGTTCTGTTTCAATAACAGAAGCGCCGTCTAAGTCAATTTTATGGTCGTGCTTCTCGCAGTGCTCCGCCAGAGCGCTACGTTGCACTTCCATCTTCCTGACGTCGTTCTTGTGTTGGCGCATTCTTTCCGGGAAACACTTGCTCTCGCCTATGTAGCAGGCTGGACACCCAGAACACGACACTTTGTAGACAACGCCCGGGTGTAGCTCCCTCGGAGGTCGGTCTTTCGGCCGCGGTAGCAAGCGAGCGAGCGTCGAAACAGGCTTATGGATTACCGTGACCCCGGCTTTTCCTAGGATTCTCGAGAGCTGTTCACTTATGCCCGGCACATATGGAATGGCGACGCGGTTGTTCGGCGTCTTCGTTTCTCTCATGTGCGGTGGTGTGGCCAGGGCGGAAAGGGGGTCGGGCGGTGTGTCGCTTGCAGGTGTCTTTCCGCGGTGCGGTGGTTGTCGTCTCGACAACCACCGCACCGCGGAAATTTTCTAAAGCAGGAGTGTGTCTGATGATGGAGTAAAGCCATGTTGTAGTTGTGTGCATTCAGGGCTCTATGGCATACGGACATGCTCAGTTCTCCCCCAATATCAGATCGCAGCAAATGTTTGCACACCCAGCAAGTTTTAACATGTACGGTTGCGCCATCTACACATGCGCAGCCTCGTGTGTATGAGCAAGCAGATATTATTGCGTTTGGTAGCATACTTGTCGTTCAGACTTGAAGGAATACCGAAAAGAAGCAGTTAATCTGTATAGATTGTTAAACTGCACTCTTAAAGCTCTAACATATCTAATTTCACTATAAGTTTCTTATTAAAGTAGAAAGTCAACATCAAAGTTTCATTTTCAGTTTCTCACCGAATCTCAGTGCATTGTGTCACGAATTTTTTCCTATTTTGGGAACTTTGGCTCAACGACAATTCCTGAAACTTGGCTAGTTACCCCTGTGGCCCCCTCGGAGGTCAGTGTTTTTAACTTTTACTGATAAGGAACTGCATAGGCCATAGTAGACGCCGTCAAAATGTATGACACCATTACAAATTATACAAGAAATCGAAGGTGCTGTCGCCATGCGCTGCGCATTTTCTCTCTTGCAGCAAGCATGAGAATTTAGTTGGAAGTAGCTTAACGAGAAAAATCGTTTTTTTCTTTAGTGTTCTTTTAGCTGTTTCGTTTTCTCCTGCTGCTTTATTGTGAGCGTGGTTATGATTCGTGCATGATCGAAGACGCTTATCCAAGACTGCCTTCATTACCCACAGTATGCTCGCGCCCTGACCAGTGCCATTGGGACCAACCAGTCGGTGCTGTCCAAGGAGGAGATTGACACCATTTTCTACAAGATTGAGCAGCTTCACGAGACGCACAAGAACTTTCGGGACGGCTTGCGCAGGAACTGCGAGAACTGGGACGCAAAGCCGACGATCGGTGAAAACTTCAAGTTCCTGGTGGGTGCATCACCTCTCTATGAGCACCTATCTTGCCACTGCTGTAGCTCTTCTGTGTGAGGAAAAGAAAATTGATTGGCTAGGAGCGAATGAAATTCAATGTGTCATTCCTCTGCGGAACATTCTACCGAACATCATTCCCTGCACGCTAATCACGATAACTTTCATAAACATACACTCAACCATTTCCCTGATAGTAATGCTTAGCAGGCCGTTCACTCCCATTACACATATGTACCCTCTTTTTTCTTTTTTCGGCAACTTGGTGGCCTTGTTTAAGGCTATGTTGTGATGTGCACCATTATCCAAGCGAATACTGGCGATCTGTGCAATCTACACAGTTTGCGTACCTCGCACACATCCCGTATGTGTAGTACACCGTGTGTTTCCCTCTTTGTGTTTCACACTTGCGGAATCATAACGTCTTGTAGTCGAACATCTCATAGCTTTGTACCTCCCCCTATTTTGCAGCACTTCTTGTTGATGTTAGCATTCTTGGTGCATCCTTTTGTATACTTGTCGTTGTTTTTTCTGTTAACTTTATCCTTTCTTTTGTATTTGACCCCCCTGATAGAATGCCTATGTGAGGCCTGTAAAATACTTGTAAATAGATACAATGTTGCCAGAGTAAACATTTTGGCAAGAGGACTCGTATCTCTTGTTGTCTTTTTTTGAAACATTAGTTTCAGCAGCCCTGTCTGTTCCAACAACTTCTAGTCAGCTTCAACTTGTGTCAGCCCTGTCTGTTCCAACAACTTCTAGTCAGCTTCAACTTGTGTCTTGTTGGTGATCCCTGTGTAATTTTCACCCACATCGAAGCTTATAGGTAGCATTGCGGTGTTTTTTAAGTCTGCCATTCACGCTTCAGGCCTGTTCTTAGTGTGCCAGGAAACTGAGCTTATATGAGGATTTCTGCATCTAAACTCAAGTTATTGATTGCAGGAACTTCAAGTTTTTACAACTCAAATATCAGTCGCCCTCAGCTCAAACTTTCATTGCCCTGAGTGCTGTCTTTCGCTCCCCCAAGAACTCTGGCTTTAGGAGCAAAGCATTAACATTGCTTAACGGAAGTCGGCATACCATAGCTTGATTTTTATAATATTGCGATGGCCTTCAAGATCAAGGGTCATGCAGTCTTATGTTGGAGGCCATAACATCATTTCGATGCTTACGTAGCTTCTGCCGGGTGGATGTTGATGTGCCATCTACTCGGCTTGTTGATGGTGCATTTTCATACAACACATAGCGTGTGACAGTGATATCGTGCAACACCTTGTGTGTAGCCGAGAGTTGCTTAGAGAGTATGAGTCTGAATTCGTATAGATGCAGGTGTGTTCTAAGTGCTAGCTGCAATGCATGTGGAGAGGCTCTGTGAAGCTTTGTGCGTGTGTGCTGACAGTTTTGCGTTATACTCAATCTTATGCAACGCTCCTAGCCTGCAGATGTTCACAGTAACTTCATCACTGTTATTTCAGGTTGTTGGTGATGAAGTTGGTCTTTCTAGTTTTTAGAGGCAGGATTATTTCTTTGGCATAATTTGTAGTTTTCTCTAAAATGCAGGCAAGTCGCCTCGAAGTCTACAAGCTGTTCTTGGAGAACTATTCAAAGGCCATCGAGACTGTGCGGCATTGTAACGCATCGAACATGAAGTTCGAAGAGCTGTTCAAGGTGAAATGTTTGTTTCTTTCATTGAAAAAAAAAAGAAGATTAGTATATACTATTCTACACATTTTTTTTTTTTTTTCACTCTTGCACTGAAGCAGTTCTCTTGCTGTTTTTATGTTAACTTACTGATTTTTCTTTTCTTTCCAGACTATAAAGTTAAACACGTCGAAGGGACAGCCAGCCACGCTAGAAGGTACTTCTGTCTAATCTAGTCGGACCTAGTGTTGGTATAAAACTTAATTGCTGATCAGCTTTAATTTACAAAAATAATATATTCTGACATCACATGCTTGCAGCTTCTCATCTGACAGAGTTACTTTTGTGATTAACCAAACATTTTTGGAACAGATTTAGTCGCTGTTACTCCAAGGAAGTTGTTGCTAGAATTCCAGGTTTCCAATTCGCACACCACTGAGGCTAAAGTCTGAATTAGACAAGGAGAGCAGAAAGGTAGGTCTTGAAATTAATCTGCAGGAAACAAAAGTAATGTACAACAACCTCGGAAGAGAACAGCATTCGAAATATGTAGCAGTGCACTTGAAGTTGTAAAAGAGTACGTCTACTTAGGGCAAGTATTAACTGTGGAGCAGAACCACGAGATTGAAGTAACCGGAAGAATAAGAATGGGGTGTAGAGCATTCAGCAAGCATTCTCAAATCATGAAAGGTAGATTGGCACTATTCTTCCTCAGGAAGGAGATAACAGCTGCATGCTACCGGTACCTACCTATGGAGTAAAAACCTGAAGGATTACAAAGTGAGTTGAATTAAGTTGATGACGACACAGCAAGCAGTGGAAAAAAAATCAGAGGTGTCAACCTAAGGGACAAGAAGAGAGCAGACTGTATGAGGGAACTAACAGGTGCTAAGTACATCATAGTGAAAATCAAGAAGAAATGGTCATGAGCAGGGCACATAGCGCGAAGGCAAGATCACCGCTTGTTGTTGAGGATCACAGACAGAATTCCAAGAGAACGCGAGTGGGTTAGGGAAGACAGAAAGTTAGGTGGGCAGATGAGATTAGGAAGTTTGCGGCTATAAAGTGGCAACAGCAAGCTCATGACCGAGTTGACTGGCGGAACATGGGAGATTCCTTTGTCCTGCAGTGGTGTACTCATGTTGATGATGATGAAGGCTAATGTCAGTGGCGTATTTTCTTCTAGAATTGAATATAAATGAAGAGTTAGCATTTTATTCAGTATTACTATGCACTGTTGATGATCTCTTTACTTTCAGTGGTGGATTACCATAGTGAGAGCTATACGTTGTGGTAGCGCTGTGTCATCGAGCATGTACTACACCATTGCGCTGGAGTCGCAAGTCGTGTTCTATATTACATTGTTATCTCAATTATGAAAGCACAATTGCTGATAATTTTGATATTTTTTAATGCACATGTGTATTCATCTATTATAGCTTAAACTGCTATTTTTTTTTTACTTTTGTAACATTCTGATTTTTATAAATAAAAATGCATTTCTCATTACAGACTTGCTCCACAAGCCAGTGGCAAGGGTGCAGAAAAATGCCTTGGTTCTTCATGTAAGTTTTATTTAGATGGTTGTGAATGTTCGTGACAGGTACGATGTTCCTTCTGTAGTTATAACCCTTTCTCGACAACCCAGTCGTGTTCTTCATCATCAAGCGAAGCTTGCTGCTGTGATTTCCATATTGGCTGATTAACTTAACTTTTTTTCATCTAGCAGCTGGTCATCGATGGCTGTTGAGCACGGATTAGGTGCTAATTACTACTTTCTTGTATTCTATATTTGTGTTGTATTATACTTCTTTGTAATCACAAAAGGTATATCGCATGAGTAGAATTTCATAGCCACGCTTATTAGTGGTAACAGCCTTCCCCGAAATAGAGAGGCACATAATCCAAGAAGATGTAACATGCGATAACTGTATTTGCAAAGAGTGAAATACCTTTTAATGCACAAGATAGGTGCGAAAATGAAACAACACGTACACGCTTTAAAAACCATGTTGTTTATTGGTTCATATTGTTTATTGAAATCAAAGTTCATGGCAAAGACAAACTGTCATAGGTCGCACATGCCCCTTCTGACTTCGGGAAGCATACGTGTTTGCACATGTAGCCTTCCCAACCGGCAGTTAGCCACTTGCCACTGCCTGTCATGTACAGCAGGCAGTTTTATTGTTCGTTGTGGTGACTGGCACCACAGAGCAGGCAACTTTATTGTTTCCAGCCACGACTTACAGCATTCAGTGTTGCTGCTATCACAGTTTTTGTACGTAACAGCCAAGAAGTTAAGTACCAGGCGGTAACTATAACACGTGTCACTGTGGAAATAAACAAAAGGGATATTTTAGAGTGTAAAGGGCAGAAAAAGCAAACAATGGCTGGATTGTATTAGTAGCATTTAACTGTATGATGCTGCCAATATTGCAATTAGTTTTTATCCTGGTGAGGTTTGTAAAATTGTATTGTAACCAGTATTGTATTTTCTGTTGTTATTACTCACATGTCATATATGTGTTGTATTTACCAATTGCTTTCTTTGCATCTTTATGCATACTATATTATGCATGATTGTTTTGGTTTGGTGATAGCAAACTGTTTGCATCTTTATGATGTGATTAGAGCAATTAATAAATGAATGAGGGATGGAAATTTTTGAAGGCTCACTTCTTTGACACAACCTTAAAGGAACACTAAGTTAAAGTAACAATTTGAGTCAAAGTGAAAACTCAATGCATGATAACATCTAAAACAACAATATTATCAACAGCAGTGCCCTACTTACTGAGAAATCAAGATAAATGCATGAGAAGACATGCGCTGCGCGTAGGACATTCGCAAAGTGATCAGATGACGTGAAAGGTACTGCATACAATTAATCACTAATTATCAAACTAGCTGCACTAAATAAATAAAGAAACTTCCGTGCATCAAGAGGCATAATAAAAGGCTGCTTGTTCATTTCTGTTTGATTCATGGAAAAAACAACTGCCGGACGTTACTAAGGGGAATGGCATGAGTGGTTCAAAATTGCAATTTTCGCCTGGTTACACTAGACAGGTCGTGCCATCTAGCGGGGTCCAGTTGAACCAAGCACGCCTGCCATCTCGCAGGACATGGCAGGAAATTGTTCAATGGCCGTTGTTGCTGCTGTGGCTCCCGCTACTTTCATTCTGCTGCTACTAGTGTCGGTGGCCGCGCAGTAAAGCTGGGCAGTGTTGTGCATGACAACAGTGACGTGACGCGTTCCACTTGAGGCGGGTAATTTAAATTTCGCTAATCCGATGCAGACTATTAAAACATGATTTTATTTCAAAATAAGCACTTCCTTGGCACAAAAGTAACACTACAAGGTTTGTGAATCACTTGTAACAATCAATGCCCACTTAATAGTTGCCTTCAGTGTCATTTTAATGATACAAACTCCTGCTGGTTTTTCATTGAAGCTGTTGTTGTTACTGATGCGGCTGTTGCTGCTCTTAATCCTTATTATTAATTGTCCTTTTTTCTTTCAGGACCTCCTTCACTACATACCTAGCAGCCATCATGATTACAACAACCTCAGGGCAGCGCTGAAGCTCACACAGCGGTTTCTGAATGAACTAAAGCTCAACTCACCAGAAAGCATGTTCCCAGTAAGTAGGGTTGTGGTTCCCCTAAGATCCATTGGTCACATCGACTCATGATTGAAATAGCATATTTGTGTTCATTGTAGTCAATGTTCATACATTATAATTTTTTAAGTTTGGCCAGTTTGTTCTTATACTTCACGTATTTATAATTACATACCCTTTTTGAGTAGTATTTATACTCTATGACCTTTTCTGTATATGCACTATTTTACTGTGTAGATCTGTTCAAGTGACATGACTTTTACACTAAAGAAAGAGTGCTTAAAACTTGAATCGAGTATGTTCAAATAATGTTTACATTTTCTCTAGGTGAAATGGCTGCATTGCTAGAAAGATGAAAATTGCACTGTCATTGAATTAATGACTATTGAGCCTCATGCTTAATAAAGGCTTTGTATTTTTTTTTGTGGGGCAGATATATGATTAGTAGCAACCTGCAAGTCATGAAGTCGAAAAATAAAAGCATTATTATGACAGGAAATATCTGACGAGTAACTGAGTTGACTGTGTATATTGTCACTTGCAGTTCTTTAGTAATGAAAATTTTTATATATTACAAGCACTAATTAATGGTTTAGATATTATATTTCTCGTTCTGTTCGCTAAGTTGGTACACATGTTGCGACAGTTGCTTCACGTTAAGCCCATCTTAATAACCACACTCCACGCATACCACCTGATTGCAGCATCAAGACAGGGCTCCTAGGCATGTTGTGAAAAACAGCTTCATCGTGGAATACTCCGAGGGACACCGGAAGCTCAGGCATCTTTTCCTTTTCAATGACGTCATTGTCTGCGCCAAGTACAAACCTTCTAGTAGGTGAGCAAAGCTACGCATTCTGAGCAAAATTTTCTGATCAGTGTGCATTATGGCCAAGGTTGCAAGTAAGTTCTAAATTTGGCTATCCCACCTTTAGATAAGCCTCCATCAGCAAAAAATTGATTCTCGACCGACAGTTGCTGCCACTATGAAGACAGGCCCACTTGTCAAAATGCTGGCCCCAATGACACTATTTTTGTCATTTTAGAAGGACCCTTAAACACTTTTTTCAAATAACCATGGAATGAATTCACTGGAAGTGCTTATATCCTTACGAATTCAATGCCGTAAAAATTTTAAGAATCCGACCAGCGCAAATGGAGTTACAAAGATTTGTTGCACTCTGCAGTTGCAAAATCTTTTCTCTCGTTCGACGAAAGCGCTGGAAGCTAAGCAGGGAAGAATGAAAGGGGCGAAAAAAAAAAAAAATTCATGTCACCCGCAGCTCGTGACCTTGAGCACTTTCTTTTTTTTTTTTTCTTTCTTCAAATGGGCGGCTGTTTCAGTGTGAGCATGTGCACACGTGTGGGCAAGTTGCGGCCTCCCTCCGCGTTCTCTGTAACGAGCGAGTGCGCCATGTTCAAATCAGCCAATGGCTTATAGATGGGTAATTCACGCGTGATTTTTGGGGCATATTCTGCCATTTGTCGAGAGAAAAGAAAGTAATTTTTAGCTGACTTTGATAATTTATTGTGAATTCCAGGCAGTTTTCTGTGCTATAATATTTGGCTCGCCTGTTGTCGGGAGCCTCTACTACCGATCGGCAGCATTTTCTGACCATGCTCAAAAAGTGTTGCAGGGCTCCTTTAAGGTTACTCGTTGTGTATGGAAGAAAGGACGACTTCTTGAGCTAGCAGATGCAAAGTATCTAACATGGGTTTTAATTTAATTTTTTGAATGTGTCTTAATATTATCGGAGAACTGTATTTTTTTTAAGCAACTGGGGCAATCGAGTGTTGTACTTACTCAGAGCCTTGCATGTACCCTTTGATTAAAATGTGCCGTCAGTAGTTACACAAATTACGGGTGCATTGCTTAGTACTTGAATTCCAGGCAGAGTGATTAAGTCACATGGAAATTAAGCTATTCCTTGAATTTGGTGCCCTAGAGCCTTGTGCGGTTTGTTGTACACATTGAATGAAGCACACGAAGCCTCCTGAACATGCAGTTGAAACTATTACAACTGGAAACAGTTGGCAAATAATAGTTGGCAAACAGTTGGCTCTTAGTTGACAAATAAAAGTGTTGTGACGACATTTTAATGACAAGTTATGTTTACTTCACATGTTTATTTCTTTTTTTCAGACAAAAGTTTACATTTGAAGTCAAGTGGTATATCCCACTCAGCCTTGTTACCCTCATTGATGCCACAGGTAAGCCCCTCTCATCAGAATGCATGCCTCTTGCTTGAGTGTGGCCACATTACAGCTTACTTTTTTTTTAATCTACCTGTCGCTTACATTTGTTTATTGATGAGTGCTCTGGCGCACTGAAGTCTACAGGAATAGGCTATTCATAAACGCTCTGCAGAATCACTGAACACCCACCACCACGTTGCGGTAACTGTGGAGGTTCATTGCTGAACTCAAGGTAGTAGGTTTGATGCCGCGAAAATGCCGATGCTTTCTTCGACCTTGTCACGCACTTCGGGTGAGGCTCCACCGATCCAACATGGACGTGCAGCAGACTCGCAGGCTTCCACTTTACGCTTCGGCTTGCGACGCGTGAAAGGCCTCGAAGTGGCACATTTCAAATTTATTTGCAGGTCGGTCGACCCGTGCAGGGTTACACGTGTGGTGATGAATGAGCCTGATCGACGCACTCATAAGCAGACACGAAGATTTTATGCAAAACGAGCAAGCATTTAATTAAAACAAGGGCAAAGGCAGGAGTTAACAAAAATAACAAAGGAGGAAACTGATACACACGATGGAAAGAACAGCTATATAACAAAATATGCATAAAAAACACTACAAAAAATACAGACTAAGACAAATATGCAGAACATTAGTAAAACAACAAGATGGAACTACAGGAGAGACAAGGAAAATTTACGAGAGAAAGAGAAAAAAAAACTCAGGCTCACGCTTCTGAGCTTTGACGGGCGATGCAGCGCACACTACAAATATTGAAAAAAAAAAGGCTGGTTATAATAAATTAACGGTTTAAAAAAAGTCACAATAAAAAGTTCCATACGGACCAGGCCAGCTCTTGGTGCACGTAGGGGAGTTGACGGGTGCCGCTGAAGATCTCGCCGTCTACGCGAGACTCGCGACACCGACGACCACACTTGTTGCTGGCTGTACGTCAACTGCCTATTCCGATGCAGTCGAAACTTTGTCAGGGGCGTACATGTCCTCCCGTCCCATCTGGGGGTAATTTCCCTTTTTTAGACCGCTGGTGCCCCTTTCGGTACAGGTGCAGGGAAGACGAGCCGGCGCCACGCTGGGTCGTTATAGTCGCCGGATGTCGTCCTCCCAACACAAAGCGTCCTTCCTTGGAAGATGAGGCCCGCGGATGATCCGAAAATTGGAGTCGTTTGTGACAGACCTAGACACGCTTATGCCATAAAACGTTATTGCCCATAATATAATCGAGGCCGAATCTTCCCTTTTAATGTTTGCATAAGCATTGCGCACAGGCACTAGCATTCACACACCAAGCGTCTCCATGCATACCACACTATGCTGTATACAGTCGTGTAAAGGCAGTAGAGTTCAAACTACAAACGGCTAGACGTTTATTTCTGTCTCTTCTCGTGCTAAATCGAGGTGCACCGCCTACTACAACACCCTCATGTTAAACTGCTTCCACCCTCGTCATTTCTAGACATTTTCCTTAAGAGCATTAGTACATTATTATAATTGCATGACATTTACAAGGTATTGGTATGTCTTCTAAGATGCACAGTGATTAATTTTATTGTTGTAATTTTATTCCTTATAATTAAAAAAATTCCTTATATAAGAACTAATGCTGATTGACTGACTGATTGTATTGTTTCTTGTGGGCATACTTTGCTTTTCTTACCATCCACAGGAGAAATGGAGCCCATCAGGGAAGATAACAAGGTCAACGTGTGCCAACTGCGCTCGAGAACAAGCACGTTGAGGGACGCTGTCGCAAAAGAAGAAAGAGAGAACGCTGTGAGTGTTTCTTGTCTGGTATGTTCCAAATCCAAAGTTTGTTCTTAATCACGTGCATATGCATACATATACTACATGCACACTGTTAGTTTCTGTCTTTCGTTACTTACGTGTTCTCTTCCGTTACTTCAGAGGCTGGGAAAGCCACCTGGTCGCAACCTGGAACGAAACAGAAAGAAACTTAGTGAACTGGTGAAATATCTCGCTCCGTTCTTACTTTTTCGAAGTTCTAAGATCCAATAGAACGAGGTCCAGTTTTTCTCATAGTGTTTCTTAATTAGCATTGCACTTCGTGTTATTTAACCTACAGGAGGCACAGTTGGTCCTGCACTCTCCAAACCTGCCATTTAAGATTGGCTTCAAGAACACCAAAACGTATAACTTCTTCCTCTCGTCGGAGTTTGAGAGGTCCCAGTGGATCGAGGCCATCAACCACTTGCACATGACAGGTATATGCTCTCACTTCAATGTCACCAATGAAGCGCTACAAAACCGAGTCACCTAATAATATCAAGCAGTGTCCCTGCGTGTCGTACGCAAATTTCAACGGTTTGCATTGTTTCGCTCACCATCGATACGTTGCTTTGCAGCACCGCAGGTTGTCACAACACCCAGCATCCTCGAACTGCAAAGTTGCATCACGTCGGCAAGAGGGGTAAGTAATTCACATTTTATTCCACAGTATACACAGTGATCCAGTTCTTTGGTTTAAACTTTGAAAGCAGACTCTGAGATTATGCTTGCTTGTTCTCTCTCTCTCATTTCACGGAAAGGTTGTGTTACTTTGGTCCAAGTTGTTCGGTAAACACGGTGAAATTTAGCGCAGCACTCGCCAGTAGGACAAAGAACTGGAAAAAAATAATGAGGGCAAGCGCTGACTCTCGAATAAAGTATATTTTGAAAAGCAAGAAAGAAGGAAAACCAGACTACAATCACTATCATTTGGAGCGACAAAATTGGGTCACTTTTGAATGCTGCAAAAAATGTCATCATGATAACAAACCAACTAGCTCAGCTTAACTTCTTATTGTTCAGTAATATGTTCCGAAATTTTGTTTGTTTTGCTAATAGTAAGGAAAAAACTGAAAAACCAGTTTCACATGCACTCCTCAACATCAGGGAAGTGAGTCCACCGCAAAAACTTCACTACTGTCCTGAAAGTCTCCGCGGGCAATACAGACAGTGATGCCAAGTACTATTTTAATATAGTACAGACGAGAAACTGAAGATTCTGGCTTAACTTTAGCTGAATAGAAGCAGGGAAAGACGTTAAAGTATCTCGTGATGTTGTTATAATTAAAATTCAGGAAACTCCACTTTTGCTTTTAAAACAAAACCTTCTGCCGTTTCTCTTCATTTTTGAGCAGTCAGAGCCATGTTATTTCTACTCAGTATGGGGTCTTCCCAGCGCAGAGCCAATGCTGTGTAAACCTTACCCTCGAAAGTGTGGCAGTTGCCAGGGTTATATTTGTGGCACAAGTCTTTTTAGCACTATTCAACCACTTCGAGTCACCCCGCTTTTCAGAAAACTGTTTTTTGTGCCAGTGTGTATAAACTGCTAAGTGTTCGTGCAATATTTATAAAAATGCTTTAATAATAGACTGCCTTACTGCAGTAGTCTGCATCTGATGTTGCAAATGAATTAGCTGATCTTTGGTACATTAATAATTCGTTAAAATGCTCTTGACCTTACAGTGCATGGGAACCAACATGGGATCTTTCCTGACAAGAACAGGTGGGAGCTCTTTGGACCATTTCTTATAGAATTCAAACAATTGCTAGCCTACGCTATTTTTCATTATTTCTCCTTTTTTGAATGGTGTTTGGATGTTTTCAAGGCCAAGAAAAGATGGGGCAAATATAAGTATACAGGGTGGTACTTGCTTTTTCACTATTTGTCTCATCATTGCTAGTACCTTTTTATCTGGAGTGTTTAAGTTCTTGTGGACATCCTTCCAGCCTAAAGAAAAAGACGTCTCTGAATTCAGAAATTTCGTTTTAGTCTTTTCTACAATGCCCTATCTCTTCTGATGCAGCCAAAGATGAGGACCTGCTATTCGGAGACCTTCTTGTCACTGTCCACAACTTGCAGGGACTCACAACACCTTCAGGTTTGCTTAACTTGAGTGACTTTTTCAGTTCTTTTTCTTCACGTTCCTGCATTCTCAAAGCCAATAGTATAGTATTTGCTGTTTGGAAATAATGGTGTCACTAAAGAAAGTGATCCAGAGATAGGGAGCAAGGAAAGAAAAGGCGGAGAAGTTACCTAGATGTGTGTCCAGTTTCCTAGCCTATAGTAGAGGGAAAAGCATTGGCGTAGTTAGCTGCAGGCGTTAGGCGAATTCATCCCCCCCTCCCCAGAAATATTTCTGCCTATGCCCTCAGTAAAAGGGACAAAGTGGTGAAGAGGTCGATAGAGTGGACTGGAAGATAGTGAAGCATCTGAACCCCCCAGCAGCCACTGAAACAGCATAGCATGTGTACATAATAGAGATTTCATCTTTTTTGTACATATGAGATCACAGCAGGGATTGTAAGCTGTCGTTGCATGTGGCTTCTTTCAAGAGCTCAGAGAAGGAAGAATAAAAAGAAAAACTGACTTTAGAGAACTTTTTGAATTTTTTGTTTCTGTACTTGAAATCTGCATGCGTAACTATGTAGTGCTTCCAACACTCGATTTGTATTATATTGCAATTATATTGCAGAGATTTCTGGTTGAACAAAGCATAGAATTAGAGGAAATTGTGAACATAATTGCAGGATATTGTTATAGTAATTGAGTCATTGCCATGTGCTCATTTACTACACTTTTTTCTAAGTTAGAGGTTATTTTCACTTTTTTAATCATTGCAATAATAAAGAATGGAACTACAAACACCTCTGGATGTTTGTTAGTATTTTCCTTTTTCTTTGAAAATTTAAGAAAGGGATGATATACTGCAAATTATTATACATATTATGCTTTGCCATAATGTTCGCGCTTACAAAATGATTGCTCTAATTTCAAATGATTATTGTTTCATAACTTGTGAGGTAGTATATTCTTTATCTAAGCACAATGTGATAGTTTTTTACATTCTTTTATACAGACTACAAAATGGTTGTTTCTATCTTTTTCTTTGCAGACATATACATTTGCTTTGAAGTAGACTCCTACGGACATTTCTTCAAGAAAGCCAAAACGAAAATATGTCAGAATACAATGGAACCAAACTTTAACCAGGTGAGATTGTTCTTTTCGTCTCATGCAGTTGGTACCCAGTTTCATCATTGGTCTTACAGGCACTCAACTACGTTTAGATGTTGTGATATATGTATTTTATTTCTAAGTTCATTAAATTTCAGAAAGTGACAGTTCTTACATATCCTGTGATTCTAACATGCAGGGAATTTCAATAAAAGCCTTCTTTATTTATTCCAAATGGCTGATAGAACATGAAGAGATAAATGACAGCTGAAATTCATTATAACAGACATAGGCTATCTTAGATAGATGTTAATAATACAGTAAAATTCACAAGCTTACAAGTTCACAAAGTAACTGTACAATTTTTCCATATGTGTCGCAGTTGCAGAATCTTTTTGTTCATTGGTTCAAACCTTTTTGATGTTTGCATATTATTTGTCAGCACAATTTTAATCGACTATTAACTGCTGTTTTAGGAAGTTGTTATTGACCTGGACGGGTCCCAAACACTCCGGATCCTTTGCTATGAGGAGCAAATAAAGAACGGCACGACGATAACTGAGCTTCGGGGAAAGGCTGCCTTCGAGATGAGCCGTTCCTGGCTCACCGACAAGTACCAGGAGAAGTCCTTCAGCCTACAAGATGTGAGTGATCTACATACACAAAAGAACCAGGAACACCAGCCTTTTGTCATCTTCGTACAGCCGCCTTACAGAGTTGGCCGTCATTTTACACAAATGACGGTTTGTATGAGTGATGACCCTGTATAGAAATTTGACATGACGTGTGCCTCAGATGAACAGAGCCAGCATGGGGTTTGCTGCCCCCCTTTAATTCCCCCCCCCCTCTTGCTCCTCTGAAGGCAGACATGCCATCATAGTTAAAGGAAACAGAAGCAGACATAGCAAGCTTAACACATAAGTTCCCCGCCTCCTTACACCATGAATGAATTTGCTTGTCAGCGGTACCCCCCTAGTAAAAAAAATCAATGCATCACCCTGGCAGATGAAATGTAATGTAAGCAATGAAAGGAAGCTTTAAAGGCATAAGCATTTTCGAGGCAATTCAATACAAGTGCATGTATGTATGCAGCCAATGATATCATATACAGACGAACCCAGCTATAACAAAACTCATGGGGTGCAGAAAATATTTCGTTGAAGCGAGACTTTAGTTGTAGTAAAATCGAAAAAAATACAGCTGATCTGAGGTAGCAAAACAAAGAAACATTTATTTTTAAAATTGAAAACAGTATCCCCTGCTTTCTATTCTTTTCCAGCAGTGTCACGACGCGATTCACAGCCATGCATAGCGAGGCCATGGTGAAAACCATGCTGAAACGACGCCTACAACCGCTTTCGGGAATGTACCAAACATTTGCATTAACACGTTCACACCAGCAGCTGTCCGCTGTCAAAGCATATCCAACAACGCCGAGATGGAGGCAGGGTATCGTGGAGCGGTGACTTTTGCCTTATTCTATGCCATTCTTATCATTCATCACTTGTGGCTAGCTCATTTGGTTGATAATGCGGACGAACAGCCGCTCTGATTAGGTACCACACTAGCCAATAGCGAGTAAAATGATAAGCATTGGAAACGGAAAATGCAGCGCTCTGCGGTTGCACACAGCAGCTGCGTAAAGGAAACCATTAACTGAGCGACTGAACTTCAGCTTCGGATCGTCTGCGGCTCGAAAGCAAGCCAGTGACAAAAGCAGGGCAGTTACAGCCAGTCAGGGCAGTCTCATTGCCATCTCTATCGAGCGATGGTGGCGCCCGTGCTTGCTCAATCGCGGCGGTTTCTGGTGTTGCCAATGCGTGTTTTAGACTTCGTCAACGTATTTTCGGGTTCTAAAAATGTATCAAAGTGTTAAAGATTGGGTTTCCTGTATAGCAATAAATATCTGAGCCTGGAATCGCATAGTGAAATTTCGTTGAAGTGGGACGGCAGAAGAAAAAGTTTTCATTGTGGCGACAATATTTATGCATTGACTCCTATAGACTGCTGACGAGGAGCCGTGAATTTTTCGTTGTAGCGGAAGTTTCGTTGAAGCGGCGTTCGTTGTAGCGAGGTTCGACTGTACCATCCATTTATGTTGGCCAAAATAATGCCTTTCATTTGATGCTGTTAACCGAAGTAACATTCAGATTGATTGATAAAATTACAAACAACAAAGAGGAATGGGATGGGTTGCTTTCCAAATAAGTGCGAAATGACTCCTGTATTTTCTGTACATACCGCCTTTTACTTTATAGTAGTTTTACTAAAAATGCTGCTTTACAATTCTCTCACGCAAGGCACACTGAATAAAAGGCACTGATGCCTTTCAAGGCCATTTAGCCATTCTACTTCGTTATTGATAATTGATCTATCACTAGCCATTTCGTACACGAGTACTGATGAAAATGCCTCTTTTGGACAATCTATATAAACAGTGGGTCAGTGAGATGAGGTTGTTAAACTGATTGACGCTGCACTTTATTTATCTTGTGAGTTGTTTTAGTACAACATTTATGTGCAGCTCCCGATTCATTCTCTTCTTTTTAACAGTTCACACTCAACCTCAGCATAAAGTACAACTCTTCGGATGTTGGACTACAGAGGGTTCCGTCGTGTAAACCCGTTGGATCTTTCGGAGTCAAAGTGCAACAGGTTTGCAAGTAAGTATCAACATTTATTTGTTATCTTCTATTTCACTGCACACTTATTGTGTAAAGTAGCATTCAGAATTCATCTATTCATTTTATAAAAGCATTGGCTACAGCCATTTTACTCAGAGAAATGGGTACAGTGGAGAAAGGAAAGAAATGCGAACATGTGGAATCTACATTCTGTGCTGTTTCACATTTATTTTTAAGCAGCTGTAGACTGGATAGCAACCATAAGCCATTGGAGTTATCCATAATAAAATCGAAAACCATCTGGTGTCTTTTTATTGCCACCAAGATCAGAGCGTGATGAAAACAGCACGCTGTGCTGTTCACATTTCTTTTGATTCCCCCTGCACATCGTTTCCTTTAAAAGAGTACTTACATAAGAATTTTGCATATTGTTATTCTGTTGTAGTAATAAGCTAATTACCCACTATCAAGGCTAAAATAAAAACCTCTATCACTCAAATGCCCAATGGTTAGTTTTTTGGAGACTTCTTTATACTGCCCAATCAGAGAACTCTGGGAGAGGCATGACCTAGCGTGGTTTGTTTGTAGACCGAGGTGGCCACATGAACACACAAATCAATCGACGCACATACCTTTTACTTTTGTAATATTGTTTCTATCGCTGTCTTATCATACTTTGGCGAGCAAATTTGAATGCCGTGCCGAAAAAAGTTGGGGATTGTTTCCCCAAATAAGCTTAGCTTCTCCTCCTTTAGTGTTGTTTTTAAAGATTTCACACCTTTCATGTTGAAATGGCTATAGACCAACTGACCAAACAAGAACTACAGTAGCACGCTATGTGTATTTATCATTTAGCTGCCCAGGGGAGCTATAATCAATGTGTCCACCACGTGGACTGTGCATTTGGGCCACCGCTGATCGGATGGAGTTCGGCAGATAGCTTGCCTCTTGTTTCCGGTTCTTCAACGTCATTTTGATGTCGGAGAGCTTTCACAACTCTCAGCACAAATGAGAGAGACGGAACACGCTCCAGTGCAGAAAACACAGACTCTGGAGATCTGGTTTTGGCAGCGCAAATCTCGGAGGCTATGCATAAACTCGGATCGCGTTAGCCCTCAAGAATGGTTTAACGCAGCCGCTCGCCTAATGCACATGTGAAGGCCGGTATGCATTCCCAGCATCCTTCTAAGCACCCGGGACACTTTCATATGTGAAGACAGACCTGTGAAGTTTGTTTAAGTGTTCTGTTATTTTACATTTCAATGGCTCTCTTTTTACCCAGGGATTGTGAGCAGGTTTGGTGCATCGGTGTGTTCAAGAGCGCGATGATTTAGCGACTCACCACTTTCTTGATTAACTGAATGCGCTTTACCGAAACAGGACATGTCCACTAGGTGGATACTTCAAGAATAATTTCCGAGGTGGTTGAATATTTAAACTGGCCTACATTTTATGAGCCACTGTGTATGTTAGCCACTTCGAGCGCAGGTTCTGTGTTTATCTGGGTAAAAAGCCGTGCTTTCGTTTCAGATCAGCTTGCATTCAAAACACTTATGACTTATGCGAATATGTGGCGCTGTTCAACCGCAGCTATGTTTAACTTGTACTGGATATATAATAAAGACAGATGTGACAAATGGCTGATTGCTGTATAACAGTGCAAGCCCGAAATGGTTATCATTGTACCAGTATGTTAGGAAACTGTATGGTTGTAACAGACGTATCTTAGCTGTCTGGCGAGAATTCGCTATAACAATGTGTCGGGGCTGCACTGTGAAATTTATAAGTGGCACAAGTCGGCTACTCTACGACTTGAAGTCGCACTTCTCGTTGCAGGAAGGAAAAGAGTGCGGTGCCATTCGTGATCACAACGTGTGTCCGGGAGGTTGAGCGTCGAGGTATCAATGAGGTGGGGCTCTACAGGGTGTCTGGCTCTGCGTCAGACCTCCAGAGGTTGAAGAGGACGTTTGAGAATGGTCAGTAGAAGGAGCCCTGCTTGTAGTGACTTTCCTCGTGATGTACGGCAATGGACAGTTTGAAATAATCTACTAGGCGGCTTTCCTGTAAGGTTTGCTTTCTAACCAAAAACTCTCGTTCACAGACTGCTTTTCTTGCTCATTGTACTGTACTCGGGTGCTCGCGTGCCGTCACTGAAATTCGGGGAGGTGAAATTTCGTTGTACTCGCGTGCCTTCACTGCACAATGAGCGAGAAAAGCAGTCTGTGAAGGAGAGCTTTTGGTTGGAAAACAAGCCTTACAGAAAAGCCGGCTTGTAGATTATTGCACACTGTTCATTGCTTATGCAAATGCAAGCTTTGTCATTGAAATCGGATCAAGCACTGTGGGCTGCATATAATTAATTATTAGATTTTTCAACCGGTTAGTCTGGGGAGCATTCCAATGATACAAATGCCATTCTGCCGGTGGAAACCAAAAAAAAAATAATCTGTGGCAGTTTATTCTCATAGTTACAACACTTAAATATGTAGAATGGTAGATTGTGCCCCACTTCCACACTGCACATTCCCACAGCAACAAATGCTTCCATCCCATAGTGCACAGAATATTGTGTACCAATTTTACACAAACAGGGAAGTCGCACTCATAATTCTCGCTCTATTTCCGCCTAGATCCGTGCCTTGTCTCTGAGGAGTAAAATATCGAAGAAGTGTTGGCCAGCGCACTGTTATTTTTCCTTTTATTGTCAAAGATGTTTACATGTCTCATCTGCTAGTTCAGAGTTTTTATTTTCCCATTGCATACGCTGGTAGGAGCAAAGAGAAAAGCTGCATAAGCACCTTGATAATGTAATCATCCTCCTATCATGCCCCATCTGCTTGTGTAATATGGTCAACTCTAGGAAAAGTCTACATATTTGGGTCTTTTCTGGTCCCCAAACAATAATCACCATCTGTATTGTATTGACAGTGCTACTTGGTCACAATTTGCATGCATGTTATACCTGGCATTCTTGACAGGAAAAAGTGGCAGTAACAGAGTTTTCAGGAATAAGAACGCAGTCAAGATAAATGATATTTTTTCTTTGAATTATTGTTGGAGGATCAAATATAGAACCCAATAGATGTAAACTTTTTTTGTAAGTTAAATTTCGCGTGGCAGGAAGCTCCAATGCAGTCGTCAATGATGTACACCCTGGGCAAAGTCTTGAATTTTAGGCATATTTAGTGTGCGGGAAAGTGGCCCTGATAGTTTTTGTTTTGCCTTGATTTGTTTGTCCTGGTATTTTTATTTGCCGAAATGTAGCTCTGGTACATTCCGCATTATTGTTGACCACAACAATGACTACTTCTCATAGGCTGCTTGTCAGAGTGACCTCATTACGGCGGTGACTACGTGTTACGAGGCTTTAGTGGCAGCACATAAAGATCAATACAGGCTCTCGTGCAAAAGGCTTCACACATTTCAACCACCTCGTCATGCAAACAAAAGCGTATACATCTCGACCCATACAAAAAAAGTACGAGTAGACATAGAAATGTTGCCCTTGGCAGAATTAGTACTGCCACAAAAAAAAAAAATTGCAGGATTCTGTTTTCTAGCTCATACTTTTATCGTCTGTCCAAATGCATCGCAGATCCCTACGAAGCTGAGCAACTGCTCAAGGAGGTCGACATCAACAATGTCACTGGTTTACTGAAGCTGTACCTGCGTGAGCTTCCCGAGGCCCTCTTCACTGACGCTCTCTATCCTAAATTCTTCGAAGCATTTAGTAAGTATTCTCTGTAATGTAGCTCTTGATGGATTTTGTACGCTGATTATAGTTTATAGACGATCATACATGTAGAGATGTGTTGGATTGAATATTATTGATGATTAAAAGTTCATTAAATGGCAGTGCACCAATAAACAGCCTAGTTTTTGTCTCTTGTATTAACATGTCTTTGCGGGGGCATCCTCATTTTTTCTGTGGGAAAGTGGCTTAGCGGCTTCTGTGCATTGGGACTGAACATCAACCGGTGGTTTAAATTTCTTGCCACACTTATTCACATTCCAAATAGGTGTACAGATGTGTCCACTGTTAAATGGAACACTTGCGTGCACGGCATGCATGTTCGGATTTCACTGTTTTGCAAAATCATAGCAGCTTAGATTTTCATAATACTACTGGTGATTGACAGTTCTAACTTCTTTTTGATTGACTAGTGCCATGCAAGAACATTGTTTTCTTCTCCACTTGCAGTTAGGGGGCCAGCAATGTGAATGGTGCTCATTGTAGTATTCTTTTTAACAGTGGGCCGTACTGTACAATGCAAAAATGTCCATGTGCTCAGCTTTTGAGCACCCAATAAAAGAGCCGGGGTGCTCAACGTTCACGGGCAGCATATGCATTGTTTCAATACATTCAGCTCGACCAACTGAATCGGTGTGCATTTGCGGTAAGATGGAGCAGTGCATTTGTGAACTATCTTCAGAGAATTCAGAACACAGAGTAGGCCTATTAAACAACTATGTTTGCGCGCATGGCATCTCTTTCTCGCAGGTAAACATGACCAAGAGGAAAAGAAGAACATGCTCCTGAGCCTCTTCAGCAAACTTCCCGAAGTAAACCAAAATGTCACCGTGTTCCTGATTGATCACATGGTCAAGTGAGTGCTCTTTTGCAACCTCCTATGTTGCTTTTGTCACTTGTCTGTGCTTTCTGTACCTTTGTGCATTTACCAATTGAGGGCCATCTGATGGGGCCGCAGAACTCATTACTCGCAGTCCTTACACTAAAGTTTACTACATCAACTACTAGTAACTACTACTCTAACTACAACTACTAACTACTGCTACTAACTACTACTGTTACTAACTACTACTATTACTGCTACTAACTACTACTACTGCTGCTAACTGCTACTACTACTGCTGCTACTAACTACTACTACTGCTACTACTACTGTAGCGTTGCGCATACTGATCTTTAGGCGTCAAAGGTGCACGCAGGGATTGTGATTTCATCTACTGCATGCATCCAACATTCTGTACAGTGTCGCTGCTGACAGAATCACGTGAGGCCACTGCGTGCTATAAGCCCTGCGAGTTGTTTTCTCAGATTTTTTACAGCGAAATTGTACATCGCTAGCGTCTTGTGTATTTTTGCCGTGTGTCAGAAAAAAAAATGTGGAGAATGGGACAAAATGATAACTGTGCTGCTCAAATGAAGCACATTTGAAAAGTGTTCACTAAATTCAAGAGCGACTTTCCATACACACATTTTCTATTTCATATCAGGGTGTTAGATCGCTCATAATTCGAAATTCCATGTCATCGCTGTGTTGTGTGCTAAATATTTAGCTGCACCGGTCATCCTACCTCCACAGAGCAGGTGTTCTACCACAACAGCCTTACGTCAGAATGGCTCACAATATCTTCTGCCTTCTTACTACATGTTCTTTTGAGTGAAGGTCTCCTATCTTAACGCAGGCTTTTCTAATAGTTAGAAAGTGTCTTATGTTTGTGTTGCTGGCCTAGGCCTAGCTCTGTTCTGTTCAATAAAGCTTCGTCTCCAACATTGTCAAAAGCTCCTTTACGTACAATCCTAGGATATCTTTGACGTTTTGACTAAACTTCCCTTATCTGATCTCATCGCATGTACGTTTGCATGTGTGTTCGGAACAGGATCAACTCCAACGAAGCGCAGAACAAGATGTCCCTTCACAATTTGGCAACCGTGTTTGGGCCGTCCATAATCCGTCCCTGCAGCGGTGCAGTGGGCCAGAGCCCCAGCGACCTGCTCACCACCAGCACCGTTGACGTCATGGCTCAGGCAGGTATTCTCTACTTCTTCCTGCGGCGGAGGGCAGCGGGCCTCTCTCTCACCCTCGACAGCCGAGAAGCGTCTCCTACCGAAGCGTGAACAAGACTAGTAGTGTGTGTGCATTGCGTCTTTAGCATCCTTCAGACGCTCAAGAACAGCGCAAAAGTCTGTCTGACAATGCAGCTAAAACCGCGTCTGCGTCAACAAGGAGACATCGAGGAAAAGGAAAGCCGCTAATCTAGTTACTGTTCCTCCCTGACGGTCATGGTAACATCGCCCATTGCAAAGCTGTTGCATCGAGAATGAAGTTTTTATTTTGCGTGTGTGTGTGTGTCTGTATGTGTGCATGTGAGGCCTTCTTATACACAGTGGACATTTGACAGTGGACGTTCCGTGGCCTTCACACTCAACCAAGAGTGTGTGCCACTTGTGTGCTATGTATACCGCTGCACTCGTTGGAATGAATGTAACCTTTCAACGATGTGTGCACCTATCACGAGGCAGAAAAGTAAAGCACTGCGGGTTTAAGCTACTTCACAGTCCACCGTAGTGTTACCTGATGGAGTCAGGCCAATGGTTTATTGAAAGCTCGAAGAGAAAAGAAGGCATCTTTAGTTTTCTGTAGATCCACAGTGAACAGTACGTTTTCGGTTGACCTCGTGTTACAGGAACCAGCCAGCGAACAACAAAGTTTCCGCTGATCTCCTAGACACTCTGTGCCCCAGGCACTTGCTGTAATATCTTTTCTACAGCGCCGGCTTTTACTGACAGAGCCTCTTTCTGGTGACCTGTTTTTTTTTTACTGTATCATGGTGTTTATTTCATTTTTGTGTGGGTGTCATTGATACACGATTCCCTAATGCCATGCACTCCAGCCTGCGTCTACTAGCTGTGATTTGCCACCATTCAAGGTCTTGTAGCACATATACACACCTTTACAGTCTTTGCCAAAAATTAAGCCATTGCTTGGTGTCTAATTGTATTAGTGTACCCCATTATTGAGTGGTCCTCTGTGGCTAATCGGCTAATCAGAAATGGGTACACCGTAGTCCGTCACTTCCTGCAGCACTCATCTAACCAAAGCTCAACAGAGGCACCAGTTAGCCGCCCAACTACTGGTACAGTACTGTGCGCAATGGTTTTGAAACTGTCGACAAGGACATTACCTCTTTGGTGCAGAAGCAACGAATTCCCCTCGGCTAAAGTAAGAAATTACTGTAATTTTCGTCGCAGTCATCAATTAGCGACCATCTAGACATATTCAGTGCACAGCTTGAGCTGCAGTATCATAGCATGTGCCACTCTACACCCTTTTTGTCTTCGCTTATGTGTGTCCATTCCACTGCTTTAACAAAGCACGCTACTGTGTGGCTAAGCTAGCTTTATGGTGTGTTTATCTAACTAGTCTATAATTGCTGTCACCTTCAAGTCTGTGTGGGCCCATCGCTCTTACCTCTGTTTTATGTACGTAACGTCCGGACCCGCTCACGCCATTCGCGTTTTAAGCCAGAGCTGTTGTGATTCTTGTCGGCCAAAATGCATTTCTCTCCCATCTGATAGGTCTCTTCTGTTACCGTGATGTTACTGTTTGCTCATTTGTTTTTGTGTGTTTCAAATAGGTTGTCAGTATTTGTGGACCATATGCCCATTTTTTTTAGATTTCTCTACATGACAATTTGTGTTATATGGCCATTCAACTTTTACTGCCTTCAGTGGCAGAACCTTTTGTTTATGTCGTTCTGTACTGTCTTTTCTTGTCATTAGGCTTTTCGTTTCCTTTAAAGGTCTTTGCTGAAGTGTTCAGTGCTCGTTACTGCATTGATCTCTGCGTTTCTTTAGTTCTATATTGCTCGGCGTGTCATCACTGCAGACAGGTGTCGAATTTCAATTGTTGACTATGCATGTCACAAAATGCCCTCGATTTATTAATAGATCTTCTTTTCTGCTTGAATTAGTTTCTTGCGCTTCTGTTCATGCAACAGCCTCATTGCCTGATAGACCAAGACATCGCCCATGAACTCTTATGCTCGTTTCAGGAATGATGCCAAATTTAGAGCCTTTCTCTCTTTTAATCAATGTTCCAAGGACTACTGCGAGCTTTTGGTAACTAAGCAATGGTGTATTACTGCTCAGGCCAGATGTGTTTTCTTACCAGAGGTTTTATGTGAAAAAGTAATTTTGGATGACAATGCGGTGTAGCTGAATCATACAACTCTTCAGAGAGGGATGTTTAGCAATGTGTCACTGCACCATAGCATACATTTTAACAAATACTATAATGATGTATAACTGTATTTTTATTGATGACCAGTATTCACATAGAGTTCTCTTTTTTTCGGTGACTTTTTTTGTCTTGTTTCTAATTTTTTTCAGCTTTACATCTACTGCCAAATAATACCACCTTGTTTAGAGTATAATGATGTGCTGTTTATTATCTTCTTCAGCATTTAACTGTGCTGCTATCTAAATGAACCATTGTACGCATGACAACACTAACTACACTATGTCGCATGTGTGTCCTTTTTGCTGTTTGTAAATAACCGGTATAGACAGTTTTTACATGACGCTTTGTACATTCGCGAGTATGACGCCCCACCAAGTCCCGGGCATGGTACCTTGTATATTTTTTCTTTCATTTTTGTAGCAAATTTTGTGCAGATAGCGTGTTCTTGAACGTTTCTTTTTTTTACACTAATGTCATCAAAGCATCTACTGCTGCGACCTGCTTACGAATGTGTGCTTATTATGTTTGAATGTGTATTATGTCTTAGTTTAGCATGACTGCAAGCACTTTTGTACCATAGCGCTCAATATGCGAGTTTCTATCTGATGCCCAACTTTTGAAATGCTTACATATTGCCATTAAGTGCTTCTGTCATGGAGACTACACAAATGCCAACAGACTACTAACATAACAGACCAGCAGAGTCAAGTCTTCTTGATTCTCGAAACAAAGGCAGTGTTATGCAGGTCCTCAACGTTCTTACATAACATTGAAGTGTTTTGTATCATGCCTCAAATATACTGCCAGATTTCTAAACTGGCATGCTGCTTATAACGACTGCCATTTAATATAATGACAAGTTTTATTAAGCTTCACCCTTGCATGTTGACAAAGGTGCAATCTGATGGTTAAAAACAAATTAAAGCATGGAACTACTACATTGGAGTATGAACTTGTCTGCTTGGCTCAGTATTTAATATAGGGCTTTAGACAAAACCTTTTTTCTTTTAAGTCTTTTCTTCCACAAGACCCACTGAATTAAGTCAGAACAAACATTACTTTTTCTCATTTTAAAGCAAAACGGCACGTTATTCTCTATCAAAAAACATAGCTGCTCCTGTGCCACGTCTTTAAGAACCAAGCATGATTAGGGACCATGTGTCACACTTCCACGACATACGCACTGTTTTGTAGCACAATGTAGCCTCATTCTCGCACTTATGCTCAAGGTTGTGCCTTGTCTGCCTTCATGTGGTAAAACATTTATTGGAAATATGAGAGCCTAATTTCAAGCAGCTAGTATCGGACTTTTGGGCAAGAGTGAAGAGTCTCTTCTTGCAAGTTGCTACCAACATAAAGATATAGTGTGAGGGCGCCTGGAGAAATGCATGGGACATATGAATCGCAGCGGGCGTGCAGCTGTTATACCACGCAGCTGCACGTTGCTAAGATGCCCCGTAAGACCACTGCAGCTTTCAGAAAAATGAAATCGCTGCAGTGCTTGTAATCTGCTGGAAAAAGCACTTTGTGAGAAAAGTCCTTAAGGTACCTGCCTTATTTCAGAAAGCCCGTGTAAACAATCACTTTGCTTTGAATGAAGTGAATGTAATACAGAGACAGTGCCGCTAGCCTGAGGAGTTTGATTAATGCTAATTCGTTCAAGTTATGATCAAGTCAATTCTTTCTAGTGATGCAAAATCCACATTTCACCCCTTTGTTTTGTCTAGGGGTTACTGTTTTTCTGTTAAGCATTAAGGTTACAGGTTCGTAAGGAACACTAAATAAAAATAAGCATAACTGCATTGCATGGCAATTATGCCAGAAATGAAGGTTACGTGCACGCACATTCATCGCCAATGTTTCAAGCACGGTGAAGAACCTTTTCTGTTCGCGAGCTCATTTTGTGTTGGAGAATGTTGCATAAGTGCCTCGCGAGGATTTCGTAAATTTCCCGTGCAAGCACTTCAAAGTATACTCTGCAGGGGACCATGCTACAGCTCCATGCTCACTGCATTAAGGGTCAGATCGTCATGTTTTAGGTTTTATTTGAACATCACTGCATCATACTGTAGCTTTTAGGGACCAGAGTGCAATTTTCTAACTTTACTTTGCCGAGTGTCTTTTCTATAAAAGTATTTACAATATTGCCACTTCAAGCCTAAAGAATTCATTTTGTAATGTAGTTCTGTACTAAGGGATCTTTTTCGTTTTGACAAGAAGGAACTTTAGCTTAGGAGGAAAGATGTGTTTCACAAATACTTTTTTCATTGAATAGTACAAGCAACTTAAAAGTGCATGACTATGACTATGATAGAGCACACTTAAGTTGTGAACCATCGCGTCTGCGAGATTTTCAGTATTCTAAGTCTTGCGCCTTTCATGCCATCGTCTATGGCTAGTTCCCAATGTAGTCGTCAAACTCGAAGAGGCGACTCGAATCAGAGGAAGTTGGGGGGAGGGTTATGATTATACTTTTTATTTTACGTTGACACTACTGCGAGTTACACTTGCGACACCTCTTGCCTGCATCAGAGATGTGACAGCTTTGTGTGCTAGTGCTTTGATTTGGCTTTATTACTCTTTGTCTGAGAGGTTGCCACATGATGCAACCACGTCTTGAAACAGAAAATTGTCGTGCTGTAGTGATCGTTTGTAAATAGTTATGAGTGTGAAGCACGGTGTGAACATGATGTGGTTGATGTGGTGACGGGAGTTTTTTTGTACATATATTCTTTAATAAAGCCCATGGACTGTTTTTTTGTGCGTGTAGTCGCTTCTTGAATTTAGTCGACAAAAACATATTGTTGCACTTGAAGGAGACCGTTGAGGCTAAAAGAAGGCTGTGTATTAGGTCATAAATGTTGGCTCAAGAGTGGCCAGTAAGCTGAATATCACTTCATCATCGTATTCTGCAGTTTGTACCCGAGAGCAGCTAGCACATTTGCTGGTCTTTTTTTTTTTGTCCATATGTGCAATAATATGTTCGTTAGTAGGCAGATGTTGCAAATATTACAACTCACTCCTGATGCTTAATTCTGAGAAGCCGTTCGGATATTTTTTTCAATAATTAGTGCATGAATTTGATGCACATTTGCTTCAATGTGCAATGCAAAAGCAATATTACATTCACATCAATAATGATTACTCAAGTCATTTCGCTTATGCTCTAATAACGCACCTGATTATGTTGTAAATGTGTGTTCAGAAAAAATTTTAGGAAAGCATGAACTGTAAGAATGGAGTTTGTATTCGCTGTGGGCACCTTACACTAATCCATTGTTTCACTAGCTCAGACTTGTTTATCTGCAATTTCGCAGTGTGAGACCTTGCTCGTAAAAACTGCATTATTTGCACACTTCAGAAGTTTCAGCAGAGCGAACACCTTTGCACTGAATCTTGCTAATTGAACAATGAAGCTTGGTGGTTTATTTTGACGTAAAAATGGGGAAAGACTAATGACTAAACTACAAATGAAGGAAGGGAATTTTCAAGGGCTTGTTTGTTTGGTTTGACACAACATCAGTGAAAACAAGCAGATCAAGGATGGCAGGGCAGCAGGCTGATGTATATTTTTTTTGGAGGGGGGGGGGAGGGGGCGAATACCTCTTTGATCTGAAATGGGGGCCAGCTAAGCAAATGTGCAAATGGGGTAAGTGTGCCCTGCATGCCCTGGCAAAAAAAAAAAAAAAGTTCTTTCGTTTGGGGGGGGGGGGGGGGGGGGGAGTAGAAAGGATGGGGCACGCGCCTGGTGTGCCATCTATATCGCAACTATTTCATTAAAATTGAAGTGTCTGCACTAGAAGTATCCGCACACGCAAGCTTAACGGGATGTCACAAATTTGTATGACTTATGCAGAGCCAATGTAATTGTCATTCTTATCTTAAGGATAAAGTATTGCATTATATCTGTTGTGAGAGGTCGAAGGACGTAGGTTTCTGGGAGAACAAAAGAGAAAAAAAATAAGAAACTTCTGAACTAGTAACGTCAGGCTGATGCACAGCACTGTGACGGCTTGGGTGTATCAGCATGAAACGCAGACACATTTTCATCCTTTATTTTTAAACCGACGGGGAAAAAGAATTTACCTGCGAGGAAAATTACCTGCGAGCTTGCCGGCCGGGGTCAGGACTCCAAGGCGTTACGAGGCAAAGCCTTTCCACCACTGCCCGGGCCCGCTACCCTGCCGCTGCGTTGCCCGCAGCTGGTCGTGATGATTCGAGCCAATCATAGCGCCTAGCCATTGTTCCTCGAGGAGGTCCGGTCCTATTTTTTCTCCTTCAGTTACGAACCTGCGACAACCAAGGTAAGGCGTCGTGATGTTTTGTACTCGTGGCTGCTTGTGCAAACACCTCATAACCGACAAACCTTTTTATAAACTATGAAACGAAACAAAATTATGTTCTTGAGGTGAAAAACGAGGTCCAGGAGGGAGGGGATGTTAAATCGGGAGGGTGCCCTTAATTCAGTGCTGAAACGCTTTACACCCTCGGGCGTATTCAGACGAGGTGTGGCTGTCCTGAAGGCCTCCCCCTGCTGCCTTAATTTATTGCTATATTTCAGGCATCTATTATGCACTTCATGCTCATCTGTGCAGCAATCGGTCATCGTCATCATCTGTTTAGCTAATAACCATAATCGTTTTGGGATGCGTGCTTCATCACCGGATCCGTGACGCTTGTTCGCGCCCGAGTTCGCGGCCGAATAAACGTCGTTACAAGCCGAGTCGTCATACGCGGCGAATTTGCTGGGAAGTGATTCGAAGTGGTTCATTCTCTAGCAGCGCTTACGTCTGGACAAAAACAACAAAAGAAAAACGAAAATACCGGACACACGATTAGGGTCTGGTATTTCCGAATCGTTTCTTTTTTTTTTTTGTCTAGGTGTGCAGCAGCTGAAATGGTAAAATCGCAACGCCGCACTAAATATAGCCCTCCGCGGAAGCATTTTTGATTATGGGCATTGTAGCCCCGTGCTCAGCTTCAAGTGCCGTATCAAAGTTCGCGCTAGCTGACCCCCACCTCTGAAAAACCCAGGACTGTATCTACCTCCCTATTCATGCGAGAATCGTCCGTCGTGGGAAATGCTTTCTTTTACGCTCAAACAAAAAAAAAAGGGGGGGGGGGGGAGGGCTCATATCAGCAAATGTCTGATAATTCGTCAAATCGACGCAACAATATTTCGAGACCTCAACAAAAATAATGTAATAAGTTGATTTTTGTTTTGTAGCAATTAATACCAATTAAATTGTACTTAAGTATATATTTATCCTCAAGTCATCCATGCTTTCTTTTTACAGATATAGAATCAAATCTCGGGCCAGAAATATTGTGAAAACTTGTTTTTGGTTACATTAAAAAAAAATATGCTTTTGTCGCGATATCCGAGCAAAGTGATCACAGGCAACAGCACACTGTAAAATGAAGTTAGATGAATACACATTTATTATGCAGGTGGTTCAGTTCATCCAAATTAGAATGCATGCTGCTTTTCCGTGGCCATTATAGTAGTCTACACAACTACCAAAAACAAGAGATGTACACAATTGGGTACAACGCGTCTTAAAGGGTAAACGCTCAAACAGGTTGCCCGTATATATGGTTTCTCCGGATTAGTTAGAAGAGCCCTGGAAGATATGCGCGCGTATCAAACACCACAACATTCGCTTAGGAGATTCGCGTGGTTTTGTTCCGTTCTAGACGAGACAGGCCGAGGCAATCGTTGAAAAGAAAGCAGCAACGCATGCGATCTTGCGCATGTGACGTTTGGATAAGCGAGGGCGTGGCAATCTGTTCGTCAGTTTTGTGCAGTGCTGTGAAACCTACTCGGATTCCGTCGGCTAACCAGGGGAGGATGGACAGAGGAAATTACGAAACTTAGCCGCGCTGTGCACTTTTGCATCAGTGATTATGTAGTGCTTTTGCAGTACTGGCAAACAGTTACTTAATTACAACGCAGCTTGAATGCGCGTGCTTCGCATAACATCGATTCCCAAGGTACGTGGTATCTTATCTGCAGATTTTTTTTTTTGTATTCATTGCGAAGCTTGCTTTATTTCGAACTCGATCAGTCGGTGTGCGGGGGAAGTGTGTTCCTGGGGATGAAACTTTGCTTCTTCTGAAAGAGGATCGTCCCCGCGCCTTTATGTCCGTGGGCATACACAGAGGGGTGGCCTTTTCGCACCACTTTCCAGAAGAACAAGTTAGCTCGCATGATCTTAACTATTTGAATCACGCGATCTCCTAAAATCATTTCGCATATTTTAGTGCGCCGAGCGTGCCAGTTTCCTCGTGGACGACGCCTCCATAAGGAGATTTGGCTGATTAGGCTGAGGGAATAACCAAATTGGGAAAAAACAAATAATGATGGCTCCTTATGGAAGCTGCGAAAGTAATTTCGAATCTGATTTTAGCTTTGCTTGTTTTTCCGCGCCGCCTTTTTTTTTTCCTTTATGTCACGTACACTGGTCGCGGACTTGGAAAGGGATATGCAAGCTAAGGATAGGTTCGTTCTTTCACTGCGCTTACACTAGTACTAAAAAAAAAAAAAGAGAGAACAGACACACGATGTTTCTGGTCTTTACAGATAGATAAGGTAGGATGAGGCTCCGCGCTTCTTTTATCATTTTTGTTTTGTGCAGGTGTAACAGTTAGCGCAGCAAACGAGCGATGTGATTCCAATGAGCACCCGTGGAAGCTTTATGATGGTTAGGGGTTCGGACGTCCCGTATACTCGGCTTCAGGTAGCAGAATTCTCATAAGCTATAACCGCTATAACCCCGGAGGTGGGCCTACTTCCGGAAAAACCGCCCTCTATCTACCTCACTGTACGTGCAAGAATCGTCGTCATTGGAAATGGCTTGCTTTGTCGCGCAAGCCGATGGCTCATCGTGTTTCCGTTGTCGGTGAACAATAACTTGTCGCAGGAGTTCTGGAAGATACGCGCACGTGTCAAACGGCAGAGCATCCGCTGGCAGATAATATACGCTCGGGTTTTGCCCCATGCTCTCAGACGAGACAGCCCGAGTGCAATCCTTGAAAAAAAGCAGCAGCGCGTGCGATCTTGCGCACGTGGCGTTTCGATAAGCACCGGGGTCGTGGCAACCTGTTCGTCAGTTCTGTGCAGGGCAGCGATACTCATGCAGGTCCCGTCGGCCAGTCTGGAGTGATAGCAATCGCAGCGGCGTTTCCTCGGAGCACACAGAAATAAATTTTGCCTGCTGTGCGCTTTAGTAGGAGTACTTCGTGAAGCATTTGTAACCCAGTGATGCGTCGCATCAAAGTTCCCTCTTAGCAGATAACAATGCGCGATCCTTACATAGCCAGTACTCCGAGCACTCGCTCTTGATTGGCCGATGGGGCTCATAGCTTTCACCGAGCTGCACGGATTTGTTGAGGTGTAACGTGAGTGGTCCACCCTCGGCCTTCCTACGCTTATATAAAGAGACTCGAGGTCGGTGAATGGCGATTGCTCCGCTAGCGTTGCCATCTCTCGGACCAGTCCCAACAACACTCGGAAACATGGTTAACACGCTCGCGCTGTGCTCCGCGGTAGCATTCCTGGTCATTGGTGCGTGCGCCGCACCTGCCGACGACTCGAGCGCTCCCGCACAGGCGCTCGGAGGCGTCGCAAGGCTTTTCGAGCAGATGGGTAAGTGTATAGTCAAGTCACTTCTCTCTTGTGCTGTTCTGCGCCGCGTCGCCTGAAGGCAGACAGAAATTAGGTGCCTTTTTCCTCTTTCTTCTAACCACTACCCCCAAGCCTGGCGTGCGCGCGGGGGCCATCCCCCCTAGTCACCTAAGAGGAGGAGAGGCGCAAAGTCAGCCCTCTATACCCTGAGCGCGCCTATGTTGTTGAACGACAGCGGCGTTCACGGGTAACTGTGGAGCTACCGGGACCCTCGATTAATAGTCTCGGAATGTGTTTTCCGGAAGAATTGATAGGCGGCCTCGTTATGGAAACTTGGAAGCCCAGGCGAAGGGCACACTTATAGATATATATATTGTATCCTGCTCCTTCTGTCTCCCGTTAGTTTGCGCTGCCAAGTTTCTACGATCAGACTGCGTTTTCATGGAAGGCGCTGTAACAGGGAAGTTTGTTCTCCAGATTACCTTTGACCACTTGCTTAGATCCCTTCAGTTTGGGACCGTCGCCATCTTTACCACATACCGCTTTCACCTATCTGACTGTGCACCTCCACTGCTGTCATGTCATGCCGTACTACTTGCTCGCGCAGTCGTCACCTCACGGCATTTTAAAAAGTAACTGCAGTTTCGTTTTAACTCTTCAGCTTACATACGGAGTTAATATTGCGCAACAGGCGAATAACACGCACGTTACATGATTTTCTCGTTGGGCAGCATACTTGACATACTCGGATAACATTGTATGATTATCGTTAATTGCGGATCATGTTACACTCGCTATTTAACGCTCCTTCCCATACATTGTTCTTGTAACCCACTACCACGTGTAATTCCCGATACACGTGAGGGAAAGAAAAATAAATAAATATATAAATAAATATGCTCATCGTTTGTGGATCCTGTTTTCAACGGCGTATGCATGCCAATGCAGGCTAAATAAGAATTTAATTTTAATATTCGTCCCTATCTTAGTACATTCGTGAGTGACTGCATCTTGCCCTTCAGTAAGATGTCGTCGCCGCTGCTGCCAACAATGTATTTCACGACCACGAAGGTGGCGTTGAATGAAATCATGGCGTGAGTATGCGAAATCGTACAACAAGAAGTCAGAAGTTTCGCTACAAGGGCGATGGAAATGAATGCGATAGCAACAAACTGGCATGTTCTACGGAGTAAGGCTATAGCGATTCACTCCTGCAGGATCTGATCCGGGGTAACTATTCATATATACACAAAATGCTGGCGCATATAGCTATACTCCGACTTCCGCGTCCGAAGCGGCTTTCCTTCTGTCTGCAGCTCTTGCATTGGGGGCGATGTTATCGCATGCGCCCTTCGCACGACAATCTGCGCTTCAGCCGCGTCCGTCAGACAGCGCACGCACACTTTTATATCGTTGCACGTGGAAGCTACGACGTGCGGGGGGACGTTATCGATTTGGACTTCATGCGGAACATGATGGAAACGGCAAAAACACGCTGAGAATATCCATGTAGTCGCTGCCGCAATAATATTACGTGATATCTTAAGTACGGCTTCAGGCGCGCCAGCTGCGCGCTCATTTCGTTTTGCGATGTTCACATCTCTGCTTACTGGCGGCTACTGAGGAGGAGAGGAGGAATAAACATTTTATGCACACAGCTAATTGAGGTTCCCATGGATGGAGGCCTTATGACGGCTTTGGAGTAAGGCGTAAAGACCGGGCGATGGAAGACGATGAGATTATAGGTGGTATAGGCCGAACAGGTACGTCGGAGGAGGAGACTTGACAAGCACGAAATTAGCGACGAAGTCTTCAAATTCCGACGTAACGTTTCGGACTTTCATGCATAGCCCCTCAGGCTTTCTCTTTTGACTCGTCCCAAAAACGGTGTAAGAGACCCTCAGAAGTCCGTGTGAGGAAACAATTTGTCACAAAAACCACTAAGAAAAATTTTGTCTTGCAAATTATTATGCTTTTGTTTGCTGGTTATCGAATATTAATTTCTTAGTGGCTTAATTGCATATATAAACTCTGATTCATGGAGGCGACTTTCGGTTGTATACATAGAACCTCACTTGTTATTCGCTTCAACATGTGAGCACTTACACGTTTGCACCTGACGAGTGCCGTTTCAATTTTGTCACGGAACGACGGAATTTGTATGCCTTTGTAGTTAGTATTTCTTTTTCTAACACAGCGTTCAACTTATGTATGTTTCAGAACAACAATGCTTCCAAGAAGCTCAGTTTACCCCAGAGGAGATAAGGACAGTACGTACGGCCTCAATACATTGTTTGTTTGTTTGTTTGTTTGTAACCGTATGTTGCATTACATAGTGCGTAAAAGACCCTAGAAAGAGCACGTTTCTTTTTGACGCAAGCTCAGTAGCTTCATACAGTGACCTCTTTGCTCCATCTGCACAACAGAATACAAAAACCTAAAAAATGCATAACGTATTGACAGTTCTGTTTATCAAGGGAGTCATTGACCTCACTAGTAAAAGTGGTAATTTTATTCGACTATGAGAATTTCGTGCCCACTTTCTCATTCATTCCTTCATTTCATTCATTTGTCCGTTCATTCATTACAGGTTGTAGACGTCCGCAAACGAGCTACGGATGAAGTGGGATCGCAGAACGTGGCGAGTATTTTTTTCTGCAAATTACTGAGTTTAGTTAGTTAGTTAGTTAGTTAGTTAGTTAGTTAGTTAGTTAGTTAGTTAGTTAGTTAGTTAGTTAGTTAGTTAGTTAGTTAGTACACAAGTCCCCACTGTAGTTCTGGAATAACGGGTATACACGAACATACAAAAATAGTTATTTATTACTATACATGTAGTCATGCAGATTTATGTTCAGAAAGACAGCCACAAATGTATAAACGTGCACATAGATTATTATTATTATTATTATTATTATTATTATTATTATTATTATTATTATTATTATTATTATTATTGTTATTATTATTATTATTATTATTATTAATATTATTATTGATGTTTCTGAAGACTGTCTGTTTTTTATTGTTTATTTGTTTTATTTTTGCGTACGCCTGCACTAAGACTTCCTGGTTGTTGCAGGGCATGTTAAATAAATGATTGATTGACTGACTGATTCATTGATTATTTCCACACTTCTCAGCATGTTAAAAACTTGGCTAGTTTTTATAGTATTTAAGTCGGGCTGCAAAACTGATGTCTCTAATTATCGCCTGATTTCTTTACTGTGTGCCACGTCGAAGATTTTTGAGCTGGCTCTTCATAGCATATTGCATGTTAGTGTGAATAATTCTTTGATTCTTAACCAACACTGGTTTCTCCCTGGCCGCTCAACTACCACAAACCTTGCTAGTTTCATGACGGAAATCTCCCCACCTATTTCTCAGAAATGACAGGTTGATGTAGTCTACTGTGACCTGAGCAAGGCTCTTGACGCCGTCAGCCATTCACTGTTTTTGGATAAACTTGCAAACTTTGAAGTTGGCTGATCTGTTGTGAATCTCCTGCACAGCAATCTGCTTCATATATAATGTTATGTTGCCGTAAATGGACAACCGTCTTCCTTGTACAAAGTAACTTGTACAAAATCCCTCAAGGCTCGGTAATAGCTCCATCCTTATTTTTAATTTACGTTAACGATGTTTCTTCAGCAATTCGTTATTCTTCTTCTCTCCCGGTGTGTATGCTGATTACATCAACATATTTAAGGAAATTCATTCAGTTAATGACTGCCGCTTGCTGCAGCCAGATTTGCGTTTTTTCTCCGAATGGTGTGGCAACAATAATCTTTCTTTGAATACCTCAAAGACCAAATATGAGTATATCTCGCAAAGCATCGTTCGTTAAGCTTCATGAATTCAGTAATGTTGATGTTCTTTTTGATAGCACGCTAATTTTTTCTGTTCACACTGAACGTGCTGCTATGCATTGCCTTCGTTCTCTCGGCTATGTTTGCAGAATATCTGTAGAATTCAGTTCTCCTACAGCCTTCCACAAAATGTACACCGCAATATGCCTTCCTCAACCTGAGTATGCATCTGTGATCTGAAATGGCATCGCTAAACCTGGCAGTCACGTCATTGAGCGAGTCCAGAAAAAAATCACAATTACCATCGTTTTGCCAGAAATCAATGGATCTCGTTCTAACACTGCAAGATTATTATCATTGCCATCACTTCACTGCCGACGAAACTGCGCTGACATGTTGTTTCTTTACAAACTATGTCACGGTATGATATCCTGTCCCCTTTACTTCTGAGTTGTGTAAATTTTCGGATTTCGCGTAAGTTAACCAGAGAGAATCGACCAATTCATGTACCTGCCAACTTCTTTCAACACTCTTCTGTTCGCAGAATACAAAGTGTATATGGTGTTAACTTTAACGATCATGATGCTTTTCACAGTACACTGTCATTGTTTTTATCTCGGCTCTGTACTGTGCTAACATTGTTTTTCACAATGTACATATTCTTCCCATTTCTGCCTTCCATGAAGGTTTCTACATAGTTGTGCATATTTCCCTTTATTTTTCACTCACATTCCATGATTCTCGTCTTGTCTATTTATTCTTTCTATTTTGCGCTGATTTCTATTTGTCTGTGTGTTTTCAATCATTATATTTCATTTTTATTAAGAGTGTGCGTATTGTATTATTTGTATCGTTTTATACTAGTGTGCGCCTTCACTAAGCCCTCATGGTTGTTCCAGGGCACGTTAAATAAGTGATTGATCCATTGATTATTAATTTATTTTCACCAATACAGTGTTGATGGAAGGAGCGAGAAAAAAATCGACTAGCCGCTTGGCTAAGTTCCCAGCTTACATTAGACAGAGGCAATGGTGGCGACAGAAGACAAAGTGGTAGCAATAACTGGCCCTAGTTACACAAAATACAATGGCATACATAAACTGGAGTAATCTTAAATTGAGGCAGTACAAGGTTCACTCGTGATAACAGCAGTAGGAAGGTAAGCGTTGCGTTATCAAGGAACTTTACTGACTTATCGTTTACCTTATCAGCTGAATAGAACTCTGCGTACTCTAGATGTCATGTGGATAGGAGCTACCACGATACGAACGCATCAGGTAACTGGTATTAGGACGTTAACTTTAAATACGAGTCAAACGCCTGCAAAAATTGACTTTGTGATGAGTCTCAGGACAATTTACTTGCATTGGGCGGGATAAAAGACTACACGAAATGCAACATAATTTTCATAACTATACTTTCATGAGGGACTAATGCGATGTCTACACGTGGGTGCGTCCTCCACGCTTTCATTTAAGTAAACCTATAATTAACATATTCTAAATAGCTGTATTTATAAAGAAAAAGGCGAGAAAGGAAATGAGGGACCTCCTGGGGTTCTCATCTTTTGTGAAGGACGTCACGCTGAAGTATATACCTTGTCAAGGAGGAAATTACTTATTGAAGTATTACTTCGACACAATTCTTCGGCATTTATCATATATAGGCTGGACGTCTCAGTGTACAAAAACATTGTTTGCTTAGTTTCCTCGTGTGGATCGGAGTATTAACTCGGGGAACCGAATCAACCCCTATTCGTGGTTTTTGTTTTAATCTGCGATCCAAATAACTTAATTACATTTTTTCCTGGCGTGTTTGCTTTTCAGAACCAGCAAGCTTGACTTCCTGGATTACATTGTGAGTATATATTTCAGTACAACTCGTCTACGTCAACTCAGTTAAACTCAGTATTGTTGACAATACTCTTGCACTGTGCTATTTATATATTTGGTGGCAGCTGGGGAAGTCTGCAGCAGTGATAGTGGGCTGGCTTGTCGTTATCACAAGGGAGGAATCCTAGTATTGTTACAGGGACAGCGCAGTTACTTACAGAAAATGACAATTAACGTCCAGATTTGATGTGCAGTGGCTTTAATGATCAAGTAGTTGGCTGCATTTATTTTATAGCACATCGTCCAATGGGTTTGTTCCCGGTCGATCTAGGTGAAATGATGGTTGCTGTGTAGTGCAGCGAATAAAGGCACAGCCATGAATTTTTTTGTGAGTAAGGGTTCACAAAATATCGCCAATAAATAGACCTCCTGAAACTGTTTTTTTTTTTCGAAAGTCCAAGGGAGTATATTGCAGCAGTAATAATAAATTGTAATGAGCACTTATTTTTGTTACTGCGCTCCAAAGGCAGCTTCATTCCCTAACACCCCCACCCCCTTGTCAGATCCATGACGTTTCCCCAATATCCTCCACATGTTCCCGGATCACTAATCGCATCTTTAACCTCTCACAGGATCGGCACGCGTCCACCCCTGAAATCGCTCAAGGCATTCGGTCCAAGTGGAATGCGTTTATGGTGAGCACCTTACGCTGTGCTAAAGGAGTTTCTATACTTCTCGTATTCCCTGGATATTCTGCAGAGGGCACGCCTGAGTTTATAATGAGCGAATCGTCCTTATTGCTGTCTTCGCGCATTTGCCGTAGTAACTGTGCAAAAAGAGAAGGTGCTTCTGTGGCTTCCTATTTGCTTTTTGGTAAGACTGCGACTCTACGAACCCCATTCATACTGTGTAAAAATAATTTGGGTCAAAAATTTCCCGGAGAAAGTGTCATCGTGTTCGAAGCATTTATTAGAGCCAGATACGGACAGTGCCAGGATTTTTGTCCTAGTGGGGCATACACGAGAAGTGAGATCTTTGCATTTCTATCAATTCCAGACCCCCCACCTCCAAAAAAAAAAAAAGGAACGCTGCTATGCGTAAATTTAAATACACGTTACAGGCAGCCCCAAAAGGCCGCATTAAATTTTGAGTTTCGCCCGCTTCAGCGTGTCTCGTAATCATATCGTCGGTTAAGCACGGGAAACCCGCGATTATTATAATTACCCCGCCTCTCCAGTATAGCTCAGGAAATGATCTCTTACTTTTTATACTGACCTCTAAACTGTTGTTGAAACGCAAACAACAGTGTTTTCGCAACTTCCAAAACGTCACGTCTTCACAAGCAGTGCCTGCTCGATAAACACGTGTGTTACATTTATGTTTTGTGTGTGTGTTCTTTTTCAGGTGTGCGTCGGTCGAGAAGCTGCGAAATTGGTGCCGAGGCCATAAATCTTACACGAATGCCATGTAAAACAACCACATCCGAATGGGCTTTTATGGACATTACATGTAAATAAACGATGTTGTTTACGTGTTTACGGTCTGTATATATCATGATATATCGTAAAGAGCTAGAGGCAGACACTGGAGCTGTTTGCCTTGGTGGCCTGACATTGATTGCTTCCTTAGTGACCCGCTGACGTATACCACACTCTGGGTCATTGGCCGTGACTGGGGCGATGCGATACTTTTACGGTATGAAGAGAAGGTAAACTGAATAAGACGCAGCGAGCTGCAAATTAACGCCTTATATGCCAGGTAGATTACAACCCACCTGTACAGACACATACACGAATGCGCTGTTGTTTCGCTCAGGGCTTCGGCGATGGAATCTATGAAAGCAATTTTTCGCAGTGATAAAAATACAAAATGTTGATAATTCCATTACTGTAGTGAGCTTGTATGTAGATAATGTTGTGTAATAAAAGATTAAAGTCAACATTAGCAGTCGTCAAACCAACACTAAAGTCGGTATTAGTCACGTATAACAAGTGCAATCTTACACACAAGCCTAAAAAAAGACCAACACACAATGAAGCCGAGGATGGTATTGGTCACGTTATTTGTAGTCTTTTAACTGTAGCGTAGTAGTTATGGAAATTAAACTGCCGCTGAAGAAAAGTCAACATCAGTGCAACCTTCTTCAGCTGCGCCTACCTCAAAACTTTCTTTGGCTTCACTGATTGATTGATTTGTGGGGTTTAACGTCCCAAAACCACCATATGATTATGAGAGACGCCGTAGTGGAGGACTCCGGAAATTTTGACTACCTGGGGTTCTTTAACGTGCACCCAAATCTGAGCACACGGGCCTACGACATTTCCGCCCTTTGGCCTCACTGTCGCTTTTCATAAAGGCTGTGCAACCAAGCGAAACGAGCCCTTTAATCATTTTCTTTCGTAAGTGCGATGCCTGCATGCGTTACAACAGTTGAAGTTGTTTAGCCAGCGCTGGTCGGTATTGGTCACATCTAAGAAGTGCTGCTAGTACGCAAGTATATACGGTAGTTGAGGTCATGTGTCATAGACAGATGTTCTGTCAGACCAGCCTAGCTTCGCGAACGGCCTACATTTCTTGTAAAAAACAGAACGTAGTCGTATCCCGTTATAAAATGCGTATACAACATAACAATAGATACCAACTCCGCCCCCTGACCAGCGGCGCCCCTGCCATTACGCAAGAAAGTCGTGCTATAGGTGGTTTCCGCTCTAATCGTAAGTACTTTTTCGCTACTGTAATGTAAATACTAAGCGCATTGTTCGTCGTCCCTACTTACAAAATATATTTGGCTGAGCGGCTATGTTTAACTCTTTGCTGAAATTTTGGCAGGAAGTTCGATTTCTCGACTGAAAACCAAGGATACGAACATGTGTCTTCGAGAGGACGTCATCTACCTAAAATTATGTGAGAGGTATTTTAGTTCGCGTGAACAAGCAAGTGTAATCGTATGGGGCATGAATGCTAATTCTGTCTGGGGGGGAGGGGGAGCGATAGCTGAAGGTGGTGCTTACATTTATTCTAAATTTTTAACAAACAATAGAAGAGACAGCCTACAAAAGATTATTTTTTGTAGATTTATATTACATTACATTGAAGTGCTATAAAAAACCGTTACGTGAAGACTTTCCTAGTCGTCCTCGTTAGGCGTGCCTTCAGAGGGCGGTGTGCATGCGCTGTGTGCAAAGGTGGCACCCCCCACCAACATTAATAATCTATAAGGGGTGTGCCAACGACAAGTCCTCCCCACGCCTTCCCACGGTTACCTAAACTGGCGGCTGAATACACATGATGTTGCATTTGCGAGAACTGCCTGTTTCCCCCGGACTCACTCGCTGGACTTCCGTGCCGACCGGTTGTGCCCTCGCGATCTCCGACGTCAGCGTAGCTCTGGCTGACTGGGATGGCCCTACGCCATCTCCTGACACCGATCTTCGACGACAGCGTAGCTCTGGCCTACTGGACTTGCCCTACGCCATCACCTGACACTGACAAAAGTTCTCGCCAGTGGTCCTTGTCCTCGGACTCCTGCAATCGTGTCCATCTTTCCTGTTTTCTCCTTGCTTCTGTCGTTCGCTGTCCCTGCGCCTCGCTCTCTCCTTCCTCTCTCTATCTCTTTACCTTTTAATCCTATCCTTTTAATCCCTTCTCTACCCCCATCCCTCGTGAGCTACTGTTGAGGGGTCCTGCCCCTAAGAGACAGTTACGGGGCTCACTTTTCCCTTCCTTTCATTTAAATTCACTTCCCCTTGTGTCCCCCTTTAACCACGAAAAATAGGGGGGAGGGGGTAAAAGTAAGTTGTTGTAGGAAGAGCGTGACGGCTTCATTTTAGGGGCGAAGCTCCTTATGGCGTGGCTTGGGCGTCCCTCGTATGTAACCACCAGTGGCACATACCCGAAATAGGTATAACACTTGACCTCCAAGGTGGTGCCAGTGAGAGATTTCTTCTGTGCGTTGTTTAACAATAAAAAATAGTGCTCAATGTACATGCCAATGGCTGCTAATGAGGAATGAGAGACATGCGCATTCGGCTTTTAGTCAACGCGCACGCTGCGATTCCCATTAGCAGCCATTGGCATGTACATTGAGCACTATCGGACAAGAAAGGGATGCTACATTATACTCGCTGGGTGTAACCTCCTTACCTTTAGAAAGGTTTAGCGAGCGTTGAGCCGCAGTGCCATGAATACAATGAACTTGTATATACCATGAATGAATTCGAGGTGGTTAAAAGTGGGAAGTAGATACGAAGCGCAAGCCGTAAGAAAGTAAAAGGCGAATTCTCCGCCTCTCATTTCCCATTAGCAGCCATTGCATTGTACATTGAGCACTATCTGACTGAAAAAAGTTTGCTACGTCATACTCGCTGGGCGTAACCTCCTTGGTTTTCGAAAGGTTTAGTGAGAGTTTGGCCGCAGTGCCATGAATACAGTGAACTAGTATATACCATGCACTCGAGGTGGTTGAAGGTGAGAAGTGGACCTGAAGCGCAAGCCGTAAGAAAGTGTGCGTGTGCCACCTCTCGTTTAGTTCTTGGAATGTCCGCTGGATGACGGTGCTTCTATATGGGGAATATATGATAAAAAGATGCGGGATGGTGGTACTTGGAGTGTTGAATAGATGAACGAACGGACACACAAACAGATGCATGGATGGACGCATGAACGGACGCAGGGGCGGATGCATGAAAGAACGCAGGGACGGGCGCACAAACAGACGCATGGACGGTCACACAGACGGACGCAAGGACGGACGAATGCTTCGCCCCACTCTCCATCATTCACTCCGTGGATATGCTGCCATTTTTTTGTTTTCGCATTCATTGTGACGCTTTTTTTCTCGTACTTGACCAAACACGATCAAATAATTAAAGTATCAATCACTCGACTACGTCGTCAGACTCCCCATTTAAATTTTATGTACACAGAGCTCGTCTGACAGTTTCTCCTGAATGTATTTTCTTTCTTTTATTTTTAATACTATAACACAACAGACAGAATGTTATTTCATTTCCTGTGATAGATACTTTACATTGCAGAGAATTACTCCAGGTTCAGTCTTTCGTCTCCTAAGAAAACTTTAAATGCACAAAATAAACTTTATTTCGGTGATTTGTCTTTTAGATATGGTGACGGCAAGATTGCCAATGTCTTGTAGAAGTTTTTGAACGGTTCAAAAAGGTTTAGGTTATAGAATAAATTTTTACTGTTTCTTTTTCGCTTTTCCAAATTGCTTTATTATTTTTGTTTCAAGTTATCCGCTTCATACTTATATCCACTTTCCCATTATTACATTTTTAATATTGCCACGCGGCTAAGGTACTCGGCTACTGACTCACAGGTCGCAGGATCGAATTCCGGATGCAGCTGCTAAATGTTCGATCGAGGCGGAAATTTTGTAGGCCCGCGTGCTCAGATTTCGGTGCACGTTAAAGAACCCCAGGTGGTCTAAATTTCCGGAGCCCTCCACTACGGCGTATCTCATAATCATATGGTGGTTTTGGGACGTTACACCCCACATATCAATCAATGTGGGTTTAGGGCTTCATTTTTATCTGTTCGTATTATTACACCCGCCAAGACTCTAAACAATGCTCGGCACATACTGAGTCACAATGCTTCAGAAGCTTCGCGATTGTTCAAGACCATTCTTTCAAGATTCCGGGCAGGACGGGAACAGTACAGTTTATTCGAGAGCCAACTCGAGCACCAGCGGTAAGCCTTGAATGTTAAATGCCGAATGTATAAATGACGACACACCTTACCACAGATCACTGAATTCTATCGTCTGCCGACGCTTCGCTTGTCATTATCAGCGTACAATGCGTTTTGCCTTAGTTGGAGCTTTCGTTTCCCGGGCACAGGTTCACCGAATAAATATTTTTGCCTCGAACACGATGGCTGTTGCCTTCGCAAACGTCACGAACACGTGGCAAAATTTTCAATGTTTGTTTCATTCTTAGATTTTGTCTAACTTTAGATTGGCAAAATTTTCAACGTTTGCTTCATTTTTACTTTCATCTTTAAATAGACAAAATCTAACTTTAGATCGAAGAATTTTCTCTTAAATCTATTATGTTCTTGGTGAATCTATCAGCGTAGGTGCGTGACACTTCAAGGTCGGTCGGTCGGTCGGTCGGTATGGTATGGTATGGTTTGGTATGGTATGGTATGGTAATCCTCATAATATGTATCAATTACTTCATAATCTCAAAACATATAGCAATAGATAGCTTTTGAAATAATTCAGCTTAATTCAGGGTTAGAAAAGAACAAGAAAAATCATTTTGTTGAAGACGAAGGTTAGTTTGGGTAGCCGTAGCATCCAATGTTCTTTGTGTCGTGCATGAAATTGCACGAGGCATCTCAAACGTTCCTGTAGCTAAAATCCAGGCCTATAACTCCAAAGGAAAGATCTACCGGAAATGAGGTCTGCTATATTCTACTGCATCTTTGTCTTCCTTTGTCTCCGCGCTGTGCTACAAATATTTCTTTCCTAATTGCTTTCTTTATTCAAACTTCTGAAATTATCTACTTCAAT